GAGGTGGTCTTATTCATGGATATCACGGCGAGCGTGAAGTTGGAGATGCGATGTCCTCTAGTGGTTTGAATGGAACAGCTAGCTCATCATCTATTGCACCACCTCGTTTTCCAACCTTTCGCCTACATGGAGGTCTTTTGCCAGGTATTGTTATAGCGTCTTAAGTCCTCCTTTAGGAATTCATGGTTCATTTCATTCTTTTGAACAATTACGTTTTTGTTTTTGAAATGTTGCTAAATTTTTCAGGAAGCCGACCCCGTCCACCGCTTATTTCTCCACCCACCTTTTTTGGAAACACAACACCCTCAACAATACGACAGCGTGGTCCGCCTCCTTCAGGTCGTGGTCCTCCTCTGCTTCGTGGTCCACGTCCTTCCATACTTCATCCACCAAATAATGGACCAGCTGGACCTATTCCTGCCATTCCGCCTCCAAGTGTGAAGTCGTGCTTAATGGTCGAAAACGTTCCTGAGAATGAAACTGATGTAGAGATTGCCAAATTTTTACAGCTAAATCAGACAGCTCAAGGCAAGTTTCACTCACATTTTAGCAAATCTGTTCTACCATATGTCACTGTACGTCCCGTTAATTCGTCGCGATATTGCTTATAATAATTCGACACTATGAAATTTGATGAGAATGTCTTTTTCTCCACTGTTACAGTTATGCAACTTGTATCATTTTAGCAACATTACGTCGTGCAGCTGATGGAATATTCTACGTTGATATGGGTACCATGGATGAAGCGACGAAAGCAGTGCAAATATACAATGGTTTGAAGCTTGATGAAAATACCATCACAGTTACAGCAATTACCCGGCAACAGATGCATCTCGGTGTGGATAAGAAAGTTGAACCGGTGCGTTCAAAGGTTTAATCTAGTCAAAATTTGAGATTGAGCTCACGCTCAATGAGCTCACGTTTAAATTAATTTATAAGTGGTAAATCTCTGTCTTAAATTATGTCGATATATAGTTCTTCAGAGTGAATTTTATGAATCTTGTAAAGGCTAAGCAAAATTTAGGTAGAAATGTTGGAACCAGAACTGATTGCATCCGTAGGAGAGCCAGGTACGGTTATTAGTTGTCATGGTTTTCCGGCAAATGTGACTTTGACCGATGTAGCTCAATTCTTCGACAAGTATTCACTGGTGGAAAGTTCTGTAAGAATAAAACTGGACGATAGCGGAGTACCGACGGGCGAATGTCTTTTAGCTGTCGGCTCACCGCAGGTTTCTATTTTTGCTAATTGGATATCATGAAATTGAAGGGATCTTCTTATGAGATTGAAAACTCATAGCGTTCGAGTTTTTGAAGGGAATTGGATATTTTTGAAATAAAATTTAGCATCTGGTAATGAAATAAAATTTTCTTTGAGTAAAATGAAAAAAGATGACAGGTCCGTTATTATGTTTTTCTAACTCAGCAGCTAAGAGTTTGTTTATTTGAAACATAACTTATGACATCTTGTTAAAATTTCATAGTTTTAGGAAGCGAATAAAGCCGTAATGTTGCTGAGTGGTCGAAAGCTCGCTGGTTCAACTATAACAATGTCTGTTGTTAGAGCAGCTACAAAACAATAGTTCGAGTGTACTAGTAGTGTTTCTTGCTGTTTTCCCATTAAATTACATTTTAATCTTGAAAGAGGTTTTTTTTCAAATGTTCTTGTTTTCTTCATTTCTTGTATTTTAAATCCTTACTGAATTGGAATATTAGTAAAATATGAAAACATTCCTACTAACGTTAGAAAACCAAAAATGAATTACAATAATTTAGACATGCAGTTAAGTCCTTAGCAAAATATTACAATGTTCTCTAAGCAAGTATTGTTGAAATATGATCAGCTAGTCTTTTATCTCGAAATTTTATGAAATTGATGGATCCCTATTAAATTTTCGGAACCAGGGGAGGAAGAACTGCTACATTTTAGTAACTTATTGGGTAATTTTTGATATCCCGAATTCCTTTATGCCATCCGTCATTCCGCTCGTCTTTTTCCTTGTTGTAGTGTCATCCCTCAGGGATAAATACTTTATTGATCTCATGGTGTGCAGATCAACTTTTGTTTCTGCCTTTGAACTTTGCGAAATCCTGTTCATGATGTTTGGTGATCAGTAACACGTAAGTGATTGCCTTTTATCCTGTTTTTCAGTTTCAGGTTTTAGTTTAATTTATCACGTTTAAAATTTTTTGGAAATGTACTATCCTTGCGCATTACTTACTTTGATTTACGTTTGCAGTTGCTCCACTGATTGTCATTTTTTATTTTTTGTTGCGTTAACCTCATAAATCTGAAAATGTACAAGTTGAGTTGTTGAAAAATTGGCACAGTTTTCAGGTAAAAAAACACTTGATAAAAGTATTCTAATTCTTTGAATTATTCGAAACTTTGTTGCCTAAGTTCAACATGAAATATTCTTGATTTATTACGAATGCAGAGAATCAGGAAGCAAATATACAATTGTCTTATAGAGTATAAAGTTGGTGAAATGAAAATACATGGAGCATTAGAAAATAACTGTTCATTCTATATTACTTTCTCAAAAATTTACGGGCTTATTTCTCTTGCCAATGATTTCATAAGCTGATTGTCAACTTATACCTAGCTGCTAAACACTTATCTCGGTTATGATCAATGATGGTCAACAGGTGCGATGATTGTTTTGTAACTCTGATTTCCAATGTTAGACATTCGCGGACTGCCTATAATTTTCCTGTCGATCATTTACGGATTTATCAGAAAAGGCACTTTCTTCCAAATATGAACTCTTTTTGTTATTTTCCAAAGCAGCACACAATGTAAATTGTAACAAGATTTTACACTGACAATCAATTAGATTCAGATTAAAATTATGTTTGGCTTTAATTTTTGAATATAGCTTTCCTGAAAGCGAGGAAACAGTTCCCCAGAAATAAACTCTGTGACTAGATTTGAAGACTCTTACTTTAATTAGCAAAACATAGCGTTAATTTGCAACCTAAATTTCTGGAGTTTATATGAATAAAAGAAATATAAATAGACCCAAGATTTCAGAATTCTTATGTTTCATCTGCGAAAAATATAATTCAAGCATTTTTAATATAAAAAAATCGAATTCTATATCAGATTAAAACCAGCTTCTGGTTACTTCACATTTATATACCTCAACCTCAATAAAATGATAAGTAAATTCTGATATTACTGCATAAATCTGCAAATGAATCCCATAGTATTTCCTTCCTTGCTTAAAGTTCACAGAAAAAGAACACATGTTAGCACTTTAGTATCAGAAATGTCTCAAACCATTCAATTTTACTCTCTTCAAGATTTGATTCTCTGATTGCTCTCTTTCTCAACCAGGAAAAAAGGATGCAATCAAGTTTTTCCTTTTCTAGCAATGACGCACAAATAACTAATTAACCCTAAAAGAAAAAGATGGATCACGAAAACAAATCAAATTCAAGTATTCGACTCCTATACTAAACTATGACTATTTATAAGTAAGGAATAGTCCCCCGAAATATAGATTATATAATTTTCTATAAGAAATTAAAATGAAGTTTGAAGTCTTGCAAAGAAAAATGTAAATTCAAATGTTTATTCAATGTTGATTACTATTATTTTAATTGTATTGAAGATTTGATAATAGATGAAATGATGAAGGTAAACATGAAAGTGCAAGTGAATACAACTTTCTCTCCAAACAAACTCTCATTTCTTTATCATTTCCACGCAACAATAGGGTTTTTAAGAAAGTGATTGTCAGGAAAGTATCATAAAAACAGAAAGATGTTTCAGTAAGTCGATTCACAAGAATTAGCTATTCCGTATCAGTGCAATTCATCAATGCCAATAATGAAATTTTGATAAGGACAGGAAAGAAATCGAATTGTTATGACGGTTTTAATAATTCCTGTTAGCAATGCCCTCCCATTCTGGTTGTCAGGAAAGCTTCATCGTACAAATTATAAATAATCGCATGCCTACGGTTAAATTATTTAATCAATCTAATTATCGAAGAAGTCAACTTATCACTATTTTTTTTCCAAAATACCAAGTATATTATAAGAAAATTTCAACATAGCTAGGGTGTTCCCTTCTGTAACAAAGCATTTTCATCTGACTGCAAATATTACAACTTACGTCATTGATTGAAATTTAAAATTTCTACGCAATATTTCTTTGAAGACTTTTCCTTGCACTTAAATAAAAAATTGAAGGTCCAATCATTGAAAAATTCTTAACATTCGATCAGTAAGTGTCTGCGGATCTAACTGATAACTGAAATTATACAGACTTTTACAAACTTGTTGACAAAAACCCTGCTACATATGTTTTCCGCTTTTCAATTTCGCCATTATTCCTTATTAATGAAAATATAATACTGTAAATGATGTAAATGAAATAATAAATAGATTTAGATTAGAATGTAAGTGTAAAAGATATGAAATTCAGATCATCGGAAGATTCCTAATCAGTGTTTTACATTACCTCGCGAAAAAAACTAAATGATCAATTCCAATATAAAATTCTATCGTTTCTTATCATTTCGATTCTACATCAACAGCTATAATATAGTCTAACGCAAACTTTGGCCCTTTTTGATTTTGATCAATTCAAGCAAGTCTCAATAGTTTAAACACGAATAACGTAAATGATTCAATCAACACAAATGTAAAAATATTAACTACAGAAGGAACGTTCTATCCTAACGTTTAATGCATATATATTGACTGCTGTTACTTAGAAGGCATAAATAAATTCCGCTATAATTGGCGCTGTAATTTGCTCAGTCAATTAATTCAAATAAAACCAACAGAGCAGTGACTACATATTTGGCAGTTAAGATCACAAATTTTTATATTTTTATAACAAGAAGAAAACCTGAAAACAAATCTGGGCCTAATAATTTTCATTAATCTTTGTAATACAAACTTTCTCCAATGAGATGACTAAGGTCAAATTTTTTCCACTTTTATAAAACAGCCAATCGTTAGTCCCTAGTGTGTTAATCCAGAAATCTAGGGATCCTCAATGTAAATTAAAAGAAGCCATTCCAAATTCTCTGCTTTAGTTAAATCTTCATGCAAATCCACTTCCCTTCTCTCCAATAGGATCTGTAAAAATCAACTGCATTCCTTCAGACATTATTTCAATATTTGTGTTAACCTATCGTTAAGAAAACGGAGGACGCATTCCACGTGCAGTAGCTTCCTTTCTTTTAAAAGCGCCAATGTCAGTGACTGGACTTATTTTGAAATCTATAATATAACTTCCCAAAAAGTCTCATAAGTGATAAAAACATAGATATGGAAACAAAAACGGAGTAACTATCTAAATTGGTAAGTCAATGAGGAAAGAAGGAATATGAAATCAAAGATTAGGATAGGAACAGGGATGGTTGTAAAATTGATCTTTACATTATCAACCAAGTGAAATTGAAATCTTTAAGAGTGTTTTCATATTTATAACAAAAATATGCACTATGTTTGCTCCCTTCCTTCTAGAAAAAACGAATGCCATCTGTATGAAGTATCATAAGAGTACAAGAAATATAAAATTCTTGTATCTATATGAAGTATAAGAAAGTTCTTGTACTGTCCTGCAAATAACAAATAAATTAAGAGATTTTAGATTTCGTAACTTTCAGGTAAAATAAATCTCTAGAAAAAAAAACAAAATCTAAAACAAGGTTGTATTCCTGATGACAGACGCTACAGCATATCGAATTTTCAATTGTTAGAAGAAAAATTGCGTGAAAGAGAATGATGAACGGGTGGTGCAAATTCACGGATTTGCTCTTCCATCACTTCTTCGCCATTTTCGTTGATTGAATTAAGATAATTATTCAACACTCCAAAGATCTGATTGTTTAACAATTGGAATCGACGAATTCTTTCGACCATTCGAGAAAGCTTCTGCAATTTGTATTTCCTACACAAATCCGTTACGTTATTTCTTCTAAAGATAATGTATTACATAATTAAATAGTCAAACGAAGCATAAAAAATACTAAATATATAAACAAATGAATGTTACAATGCCATGAACGACGTTATCCTTCCCATCAGCACGATGAACTCGTAAAAGATGATAACTAAAATCAAGGACTTCGAATCGGCGATGCTGATTCAATACAGCGATTATTGCACAACCTGCCCAATGTAAACCATCGCCAAAGTGAGCTCTGAAAATATAGTTAAATTGTTTGAGAGAAAGGCTTTCAGACTGAAACAGCAATGATGTGCAAAAATGAGATTAATGTTTTGGCACTGCATACAAATTCGGTGAGAAAAAATTGGAAGGAGCAATCAGTCAGGCAACTTACTCGACTAGTGGTTCAGTGGACGGATTCAAACCTTCCTGCCCTAAAAGCGATGGTTGACAGAAGAAAAACTGAAGCGCTGACCATAAACGATGGAATTCTACGCATTCATCTAACCACATCACCTAAATTAAGAGGCTTTTACCAAAAGGCAAAATGTAGTAGAAGAAATAATTTGACATCAATCAATGACTTTCGAAGAGAAAATAAAAAAAAAAAAACAAATTGACAAATTTTGCCAATATATGTAAAAGTTGGATCAAGAAAATTCATTATTCTGTGAAAACTAAAGAGAAGTTTTTACATCGGATTTGGCAAATCTGGATAAAAATAAACCCCATTGCTAGGGAAGCCACCAGTCCAAATGGTATCCATTGATAAAATCTCCTTAAGTTTCAAAAGAAACATCTCAAAAATATTTAATCCACAGCAAAGACGTTCTTTCGTCAGCAGTTCCGCTTCGCGAGAAATCGCTTTCTGCTATAAAGATAACATGATTTCCTTTAAATAACTTACAATTTTATGAGTTATAATGTTTAAAATCTAATTTTACGTTATTAAATAAGAAAACGAAAATACAAAAATATATTGCAATAAAAACTAGGAAACCTGCGCAAAGTGAAAAAGTTACAACAATTAACCTTTTCGTCACCAATCTGTTCAACAACAGCAGAAATCTGAATGCGTGCATATTTCTGCTCCAGTTGCTTCATTTTCAGTTCCTGTTCTTCAATCTCTTCAAAAGCATTTTTTTTTCAATTTAAATTGTCAAACTAAATCAAACTTCTCTTGGTAATTTTATATTGGCAGAGTAAACAGTTAGATTTCATAGCTAACTCACAAAAAACATTTCATTCTATGTAGGCTTTTATTCTGACATAACTACTCCTTATTTGAAGCGTTCTGTATAAACTAGAAATCGTATTCAATAAAATCTGTAGAAAATACTTTTCGCTGGTTGACGTGGAATAATCTTTGTAAACGGTGCAGCTGTCAACAAATCCATGATTTCTTCCTGCGCTAAGGCTAATTCAAATTGTAAGCAAAAAACAATTATGTTACCAAGTTCACGAAGTACCTGAAAATATGGTTTAAGAAATCACATTTTACAACTCAAACACAATTTAATTTTTCTCACCAACATGTTCCGAGATAAAATTCGTTAAGAAGGAAGCACGCAGAAAAATCATGTCATCTATAAACATATTCAAAAATCTATGTAATATCTTAGAAAGATTCCTGAAATTATACTTGACAGACATCCTTTTTAAGTTCGGCATAGCGTCCAACATTAGTTAAATGGGCGATATAATACTCCAACACAGCTGAAAAACATCTGTGTTTATTCTCCAGAACAAAAACATATCATTTACTTCAAACAATAATTCTTTCGTATAAATCCATACCAGGTGATCCATAATCAAATCTTGGCAGTTTACATACTTTCGGCATTAGATTAAAAATAGATCTTACATGACCACGCAATGGACCATTTACCTGCAAAGTAAGTACATCCTTTCTTTAGCTTAATCACAGTAACTTATTAGACGGTGGAAAGTTAAACGCCTTGAAAACTTACCAAATTGCGCACGATCTTAATTAGTTCCTCCAAAATAATTGCTATCCCCTGATAACCCAATAAACGAGCCACCGCTCTAAAAAACAGAGTTTCGTACATGTTTTAAATAATTATAATTTTAAAAAAATTATTAAAACTTATACTCAACCGAGTATAAACTCACACCAATTCATGCTACTCCTAGCAAAATCAACCCTAAATAAAAAATCCAAACAACTTACTTTAAATGTGGTAATCCAATAAATCCATTATACAGTGAGTATAAGTTTGTAAACGCTGCATGCAACGACTGCAACTATGCAAAACAAATAAAAAGAGATATTTTCCAATAAATAATAAGATAAAATATTATGGTTTCAAAAATTTGTAGACCAGTTATATCTTTCAAGACTGCAAAAAAATACTTTTGAACCCCAGAAATAGTGCACAGCGGCTGAAGGTGGACGTTCTCGCTGTGGGACCTTGAGTTTTGAGTCTTTCACCAGTGATCGAACAAATCTTTATAAAATAAATTTTTTTTTCATTAAGAAAACCTATAATTTACATAGAAATATGGACGCTCTTCTTATACCATTTAAAAAAAGTAGTGATGACGTTCCTCAGGTAGATTGTTAATTTAATTGAAAAATACCTTAGACTGTCATTAGTTGATTAAATATGCACCTAAATATAAAAAGTTCCAGATCTCCTATTTTCTAAAGCTACAACAAAAACTCACCTACGTGTAGAGCCATTATAACAAAAGTTGGGTATGAGATCATAATTCAGCTCCCAAAACACATGTAAGGTGATACGTCCATATGGCGCTGAAACGCTATGATTTGCTTCGCATAAAAGTTCATTAAAATCAGAGATCGACCCCAAATGTTCACTTAAAAGACGATGGCACAGACGATTCGTTTCCAGTAAGTTATCCAATTCCTTAAAATGTTAATACTAGAATGTTCAAAATCACTCTCAGCACTTCATCTTTTATCATAAGTTGTGTCGATATCAAGAAATGGATAAATCAAATTGGCCAACAATTTTTCCGTTTCACCACCATCCCTAGCATTCCAAGATAATACATTTTAGCACACTTTTCAGTGCTGCTAAAAAGGATGCAGAAGCTGAGCACAGAATAACATCTGATCGATAAATTTTTGAAAGATATATTCTTCAAATTCACGGATTCAAAGCATATGTTATTAATTCAAAATGACTTACAACGATGGAAGACAGTTCTTCAGATTCAAATTTCGAAATGGCAACATCAAGGGCACGAATAATAGCTGTGTTGATCCTCTGGCTTATCAAACGATTTAAATCAATTGATCGACCCAGAAGCTGAATTATTCGTGCATTAACTCTAATATTTTAAAAAAGATCATATTTCGATTTGATAATTTTGCAAATTTCAAACTGGCAAAAAAGTCATAATTCAAAAACACTTCTCAAGCATTGCTAAACGGAAATAATTATAAATTTGTTTCATATTCAAAGTTGTTGAACTTAATTAAACCTGTTGTTTATCTACTTCGTAATTACCTGAACATGTCGCTGACACAGCAAAGTTTCATATCGATAATGAGGTGGTGCACGAATCGTTATCCCCAATGCTTGACAATCTGCTTTGAAACGCTTGTCGAGCAACATGCTAAAAATTAAAAAATTGACTTGCTCTCTAAGTGAAAATGAACAGAATTTGATGTATTAATACAATCTTATGGTGTCATTTACTGATTTTACTGATTAAATGTCATTTACTTGAATTGACAGTCAAGAACAATAAATTAAGCGTCATTATCATATAATGTCGTAAAACAATTATAGCAATATAACTCTTCTGAATAGATTTTAGGACGTAATATTAAATTACGTTTTTACTGCTGAATGAATATGACTGTCATGTTGCATTTACAAAACGACAACATATTGTACTACTTGATTAATAACGATTAGGTTATTATGCTGAACCACTCATTCATGAAAGCTATAAGATCAACGAGATACTGTTGGTAGACTGCCGATGAAAAAAGCGTTGAACTAAATCACCAGACAAGCTTCTTCATGACCAAGTCCTACATTTAATCTAATAAATTTTAATCTTATAAAGCTGATTGTTGATTTAACATGAGTATTGACTACAGCAGCAATATGAACAATAAACATCTAAGCACAATACCACAAATAAAAAAGAATAAGAACACAAGCTAAGAAAAAAATTTACTTTGAAGCCAGCTGCTTATAATAGGTGAAAACGGCATCGCTCACTTTGAAAACAAATTGATCAAAACATAAATTCACTTCGGCTTCAACTTCGTCATATAAAAACTGCTTTTTGAATTTCTTTAATGCATAATCAGCGGCATCGTTATATAAATCAAGTTGGTAAAAGATGGATCTAAAATCACATCTCGTTCGTTCTTACCGACTACCACGTGTTTTGCTTTCGAGACATATGGATAATTCGGTATGAATAATTCAAAAATTAAGATGAATGATTCAAAAAAAATTAAAATAAATGAGTGTGTAATAATTTGAAATAGATGCGAGCCAAATGAACCAGTATTTTTAAAACACCTGCAGTAAAATTCTTGGAACTTGAATATTCCAGAAAAAATTACTCAATTAAAGCAGGGTCTTGGCTTATCAAGATGTAATCAGTCAAAATCCATGGCACAGACATGTCGATAGGAAACTGGATACGGCGTCCCATTGTCATTTCCAGATAAAATTCACGAAACCATAACTGCGAAAGTTCACAACATTCACTCAATGTTTCTGCAAATATCTTATTTAGCATTCCAGACAAACAGATAAAAAAAAATCTACCTCAACAGATCTCTCTAAATTTAACGATGTAGCTTCCAGTAAACCTCATCACTTCTCAAAAATATCCCACTTTTGCAGAATAAATGACTATTTTGAGTGCTTTGATTTTCTGAATTCGCACTTCCTCCGAGACTTACGTTTTCTCAAATGTGTATATTTATCATTTTAAATTTATGTGTCTCCTTTCTTGAGCAGAATTTTTTTAATTTCCTACTTTATGGTTTTTTGATAAATTTAAACCACAACACCGATAACCCATAGTTCTCGAAAGATAGAATTAACAGCAGCAAGTTCAAAATAAACTATAGGACATCGTTTGATTCTAATAAAGTTCCTAAAATTAATCAGCAACAAGTTGCTCGAAAACGAATTAGGATCAGTTCAGAGAATCGATTACAAAACTACTTGACATGAAAAGTGCAAATACTTTGAAAAGCCGTTTTCAGTTTTAAAACCATCAGCTGATGACTTCAGGAAAAAGAAACAAACAGTGATTCTTAATGTTATTACAAAAGAAAACATATGTTTCTAATGAAAAAGGCAATTACCTACCGGAAAAAGCAAGAAGCGCAGGCCAGTGAAAACTTATGCGTAAAAAATGTGCCAAGCGTTCTATATATTTCGATTCGATGTCTTTACGCAATATTTTTTTGCTACCACTTCGTTCCGAAATCAACGACTCGGTCATTGTGCGTGCCATATATAACTAAAAGATGAGTAATCGTTGCTTTTATTTGGACTTCAAAATGAAAAGACAGATGAATGTCACTTTCATTCCACTACATATGCGAGATAAAAAATTAAATTAAAAAAGTGCTTTCGATTCGGTTAAACATAACAAAAACCAAAAGGTAAGAACTAGAACATAATCGCCATACACTAATTTGCAGATAATAAGGATAATAAAAGCTAAATAAAAAATAAAATAATCGAGCACGACCTGCGTACTACTTGGTGCAACGGATCGACGTGCCGCACGAATATCATTGATTGATCCTACTGTAGAATGTCGCTGCTTCTTTGATTTACCTATTTCAATAGAATGTGGATCAAAATTTCCAGTACAATTATCTACACAGGTATCGCATATTGATTGAATAATCCTGCAAAACGATGAATGACAATCCATTAAGAATTAGCTGCTAACAATGATGAAATAAAGCGAAATTATTAAAGGCAAAAATGATAAATTCCATTCAAAAGTCTGAAACTTAGACAATTTCGTACCAGAATTACTAATGCTTTGAATTGAATTACGAGTTTTTTTGAAATTCTTTTCCATTTGAATAATATAGTCATTTCAGCACTGCATACCTTTTTAAAGTTTGTGGAACATTACAGTAAGAAATAAACTTGCCCTGCTAGTAAGTCCTTCTTATTCTTAAGAGCCTTATGAAGTGCCTCTTTCAGAGTTATTTGAACAAAATCTTGCATTTCAGCATAAATATGTTTTCTTATGGCCACACTCAAAATTGATTCCATTTTAGAAAGCATATGCTGCACGCTTTTGATCATCGATATAGTCTGAAACCAAAATCACTTTTGGTTCGAAATTGAATAAAAACGGTAATAAGTGCTTTTAACATCTAAAAATGTATCGGATTTTTCACTTTCTCAAATATTCAGAAAAACAAGCCTCAATCAATGCCGCTTTCTCTGCAGGTTGATAGTTATACTTCGTGGCTCGTTCATACTCTTCCGCTGTTTCTGGACAAGCTGGATTAGTACGATGATCAGTTGGATGAAGTAATTTCCATGAAACTGTTTCCACAACATCACTAGTCCAGCTACAAAGAAGTTGGATACCACCCAACATTAACTGGGTCATTTCTCGATTTTCGCTATCACTGCGTGGTCCATCCCTATCATAAACAGCAACCTGGAAGTAAGAAAATCAAAGATGATTCGACTTACTAAGATGGACAAAAATACTTTAGAACTGCTACTTATTTCTACAAAATCTCCCATGAAAGTAGTTCATTTACTTTAAACTTATATTAGTTTTAGGAAAAATTACCTCATTATTAACTCGAGAGAGATTTGTAATGTATTCCAAATGTTGTTCACGTATCGTTTTCAATTTCTCCGTGATATTGACGTGACATTTTTCACCTTTAACATTTTACTTTGCATTCCTACTAAAATTTTAATATCTTTGTAAAGCTGATTTTCACAGAAAATATATTCGAAATCTACCTTCACTGCTTGCATTTGGCCATTTTGAAACTTCAAAATGGGGAGACCTCCTAACAAATAAGAACGGCTGGATTTGCATATCGCCAAATAATGGCACCACTTCAAGTGACTAGAAATAAAGACTAATTTTTCTACAGTTTTTGAAATGTTTTAAAAAATATTACATCACTGACATCTATTTTCATTTTTCGGAAGAACAATGATATAAAACGTTCAATTGCTCGTACATTACATCTAAACATCATTAAGAAGTGCAAAGAACAGCAGACCTGGAAAATCTTGTCAAGCTTAGAAATACTGATCCGTTTCCGTTGATCTAACTTTGAAACATTTGCACTGTCACCATCCATTAAGAACAACGCAAAAGCTATTACCTAAAATTCTTCGGAACCCTAAAAAAACTGCCAAAACTCTGTTCTTATATGTATGGGATCAATTCAAATTGTACATATTTTAAATTTCTTAAAAATTGAACTGAAAACTAAAAATTAAAAAAACAGAAGGAGAAAATCCATACTTTAACAAACATATGTCGCTCAGCAGGGGTGATATACATGTGATTTTCGAATAGTATTACGCAGATATTAACAACATCGGCCAAAACTTCCTCATAACTTTCAATCTAAAATAGCAATTTCTGATAACAGTATATGGTAAAATTACATTGAAAGCAGGAATCTTTAACAAGACATTTGAACATTCTGTCAGTTTCAGCCTATAAACAAATACTAGGCTAAATTAAATTCAGTTAAACTCTTTATTGGAGACGGAACATGGATTTTACTAGAATATTTTAAATCCCGAAAGGTATAGAAATGAGGCAAAATTAATGCTTAATTAGCAATAAAGCAATAGATTAATCAAGAACAAGAATTTTATACCTGAACAAAAGTGCACTTGAATGAAGTTACTACTTAAACAAACCGACTGTAATTCATTTTTGAGCGTATCCTTGATTTTGTTTTGAGTTGCTAAAAACATACTCAAATTTTGCATTTCGTGTAAAGTCTTTGTGTCCGACATAACTTGCAAGAACTGAGCTGATCTGAAAAACCATTTTTTCATAGAAGCATTCTTATGTTGAGGGGAGCATTGTAATCTATGCAAATCTCTATCTTCTATTCCTTAACAAATCATTCTACCATGATTTGTCATATCGAAAGATAACTACCAAACTAACCTTCTAAATGTAGAAAAATCATTTTTAATTGATGCTTTCATATTTTTCAATTCATCAAGCACTGCAAACATGTTCAACGTCTTCCCAAGTGTTAATAAGTATGCCTCGGATACAAAATCTTTTCGTTTCTCCGGATGACACAAACGTTTCATTTCGTCGCAAAAACGTGAAATCGCTTTATTCTGCAATAAACTAATTTTCATATATTAAAATGAATGTTTGTGACAATATTTGTGACAATATTAAAGTAAATGAAAAATGATTCCGTAAAAATGCCCCAACTGAAATAAGTGGAAAGAAATTTTAATGCATTACCGCAAAGTGCATAAAACGGTGCAATTTTTGCACTTCGGGATTCAGCACTTCGACAACTTTTTCATTTATTTCAACTCGATTCGGCTGGTCATTTGATTTTGCCTGAATAATTCATAGCTAAACATTTTGTTGTATCTGAAGTTGAACAAATGATCATGGACATTTGAGAAATAAATAGTTTTTTATTAATATTGATCGATTCTCCACTTGAAATCCTACTCTCACTGCAAGTATGAAGATAAAGTTCAATCGTTCAATCCAATACTTGAATTTACCGAAGCTTAATGCTTCAAAGTAACTTCTTATCAAAAAATTGGAAAGCCAATATATTTAATTTTAGCAAATGATTTACCATGGGAACAGCTCGTGAACAACATCTCCAGGTATATAGATGAGCAGCATGTTCGAAACCTTCCAATAACATATCATTCTAAATGAATCATTATAGATATTAAATGCACTTCTTATGGCACCAAATTTAATTTCATAACTGCTGACAGCAAATTCGTATGAGCTTTTGGGATATAATTTAAAGAATAACGAAAGGAGAAAATGAGGAGAAACTGACAAATTCTGCATGTCGCGTAGCTTCCTCAATGTACTTCGAAACACCTGTCACATAAGCATTTCTATCCTCGAAATTCGTATTAAATGAAATACGATATTCCAACGGTATTGGTTGTGCCTCAATGCATGGCTGATTGTCCAGAAGTATCAAATCATCCAAAAGCTAAAACCATTTATCATTTCGCGAGTGATTTCAATTGTGAAGCCTTTCATAAGAATATAATAATCACTATCAACGATCGCTCTCTCTTTATTTTAAAGAATTAACTCGGATTCGAAATTTTCTCTCTAAATTTAGTTAAAAGTAATCAAAATAAAAGTAATAAGTCATGAATCCCATTCTTACTACTCGAAAATCTAATTCCAACTCATTGTTCAGCACAAGTTGGTATCTTAATAATTAAAGTATGATCGCACGATCATAAAGAACTAGAACTATTCTAATAAAAAATTGAACATCGTATGCAAAATGTTGCTACCAGATATAGTTGAAAAAACTCACATCAACATTCCCAACAGCATCTCGAAATGATACTGTTTCTACAGCCATATCAAATATATTACTTTTACTGTTAAAAACACCTTTTGTTCTTTCTGATTTCTATGCAATTATCGTAAATCACAATATAAATTTTTTAGGCTGAAAATTCTAATGAATTCATTTTTATATAATGCTTCCATGAATACAATAAAAGCATTATATGAAAATGAATTTACTCAGAGTTTCTCGCTGTCAATTTAACCAACGAATGAAATGAGAAAAAAATCTCACAGTTGGCATTAAATTTCGACAAGTGCGCAATACACGACCTATGCATGCACTGCAAATGAATATAGCACTTAATGCACACTCAGTTGCAAAGCACTGAAGTTATCTCCTAGTGCTGCTAATTTCCTTCTCACCACCTATCGAGAGGATGGGATGGTTCGAGGACTGCTTTTTTCAAGAGATAGGTCACATCCATGGTAAATGAGGTCGAGCGTCCTGTATGATAAGAGGTCAAAACACTTAAGTTAATAAAGTTCAACATGAAATTGCAATATTTTAACGAAAAATGCTGTGATTGCTAACTTGTTGGAAACAAGAAATACGAAATAGCACTTGCTGAGGAGAGAAACAAAAAATGATAGCAATTCAACGTATAGTGCGTGGTGGAGTAATGTATCAATGATATACAAAAGCGCGACGAATGATAAGCTTTTGTGCAGAAACTTAAGCAAAGTGTTAACTTGAAAATAGGAAGAGGTTGAGATTGATAGGGGCGGGAAATAGTATAATGTTAGGGATTGAGAAGATTGTGGGCGTGTCATTATCTGAAAGGACAGAGTGTTAATATGAAATGCATTTGGCTGTTTGTTTGCAGCTTATCGTTCCGGCCAAGTTGAGTATGAGGTCTTTCCTGTAATACAGATGTGATTCTGATTTTATTCACCGGGATTTCCGGTGCTCTCGTATTTGATCTATGAGAAAAATTTGTGAGCACAGATAGTATTAGTGATTGTCATGATATTAACGTATTGTTAAGAGTGATATTTGCAGGAAGAAAACCCGGGTAAAAGCTTTCGTGGCGTAGCAGCAGATGTCTAGTGTTGGCGGCAGGAGAAAGAATCCGCTGAATTTAAGTTTGCCAGCAACGGTCAAAGAAAAGGGTGATTTAAGGAGGGATGGAACGAAAGACAGGAGTACCTTCTCGCTAGAAGACCAAATCAAGCAGATGACACTCACTGAACCACAAAAACTACGAATGCAAGAATGGATCAAGGAGAAGAAACTTGTTAGTTAATTAACTAGCTAATTAGTTTGTTTCAGTTTCTTCGTTTCCTGCTTTGGAAATAAATTTTCAATCCATTTGTTGCAGGTACCATTAAATGAATTGAATGAGGATATGTTGGAGAAAATGTGTGAATTGGGACATGGTAATGGTGGTGTTGTGAGTAAAGTAATGCACAAGTCGAGTAAGATAATCATGGCCAGAAAGCTTGTTCATCTGGAAGTGAAGCCATCTGTGAGGTCGCAAATCCTGAAGGTACAAGATGGTCGGTTCTTTTCTGAGATCTGTAAATTCCCACTGTGAAGTATCAATGTCTTCTCTTACTCATAGCCCTTTTACATCCATGTTTGGTAGAGAAAAAGAAACCTTAGAATATCTTGAGCACGTTATAGTACAAAATTATATTAATCTACCTAGTGGGAGATTTGTGGGTTTTGTTTTTGAAAAAATAGTTCCTGAAAAAATAAAATATTTCAGGAACTAGATGTGCTGAATAAATGTAATAGTCCATATATTGTTGGATTTTATGGCGCTTTTACTGATAACAACGATATATCCATATGCATGGAGTACATGGATGGGTTATCATTGGATGTTGTTTTAAAAAAAGTTTCTTTTTTCACTGTTTAGAAATTTGATTTACTGAATTAAACTGATTACAGAATTCGAATTTCTAAATGTTTTCATTTTTATGTTTATTTTTTCTCATTCCGTGCTGTTATTAATATTTCTTCAAATCTATGACATATTATTTCCAGGTTGGTAAACTAAAAGAATCGCGTGTAGGTCGAATTACTGTTGCGGTTATTCGTGGACTGTCTTATTTGAAAGATGAACATAAAATACTGCATCGAGGTTTAATCATATTTTTTGTCTCCATCAAGTCATGAAATTGCAGTGTATTACAACACTGAGAGAAAGATCAAGACAGAGATATCTCGCAAATTTTTCATTTTTTGTTTCAGATGTTAAGCCATCTAATATATTGGTTAACAGTCATGGAGAAATAAAATTATGTGATTTTGGTGTTTCGGGCATGTTAATTGACAGCATGGCTAATAGCTTCGTTGGTACTCGGTCGTATATGGCGGTATATCATTTCATTGGATTTTTTCTGCATCATTTTTAATTTACGGAGGATTAATTTTTAAGTTCCTATTTGATTATCATTTGTTTAATGACAAGGAAATCGCAAATTCCATTTCTGCAAAGTTTACGACTTTAAATTATAGTTTTTATTGACATCTGTTTAATTAATTATTTCCAGCCTGAACGATTGACAGGAAGTCATTATAATGTGCAGTCGGATGTATGGAGTTTTGGGTTATCACTTGTAGAATTGTCAGTCGGGCGATATCCAGTCCCAGCACCAACGGCACGAGAATATGCCAAGCTCTTTAACATTCCGGAGGAAGAAGTAGAATTTCCAGAAGGCACTATGCCACCAACGTCCGCTACTCTGTCCACACCAAGAACGATGGCAATTTTTGAATTGCTTGACTACATTGTTAATGAGGTAATCTTAATTTTACTATTAATTTCTTTTCAATTTTTCATCAAAAGATACGTGGGGTTCCCTGTAACAATCAAAGTAACAGTTTCGGGAAAGTAGACATTTTTCTTGGTTCAATCTGAACAGTCAGTTTACTGTCAACGAGCACCATTCCTTCGTTTTTTCAGAATTCATAGAACTATTTAAAGAATTTTTGCTCTATTTCAGGCACCGCCGTTGTTGCCGAAGAATATATTCAGTGATATTTTTATCGACTTCGTTGGAAGATGTGTTAAAAAGAACCCAATTGAAAGAGCTAATTTGAAAACATTAAGTAATCATGAATTTTTTCTAAAACACGCGAATGCGGAAGACGGTGGTGAATTTTCACGGTTCATAAAGGAAACGATAGGAATGAATCATCGTTCATAATTCGTAAACTTTCAGTTTCATATTCTGAACACTGCCTTAAATAAAGCTACGGGCTCATTTTGGTCATCGTCATTATCTAGCATATTTTTGAATTAATTAGCATTGTTTTCTGACGCCTTTTAACGAAGCGAGATTTTATTTTATGAAGTATTTGCAAACACCTTAAATTTTTGGTAATTTTTGATGTTTGATTGGGTTTTATGGTATTTACTCTCTTTCCAATGAGAGATTTGTATTCGAATGGCACCACTGTTTTCCTTATTGATATTTCATTCACTTTTTTTTGCCAAAAATTCTCTATATGCTTGAATGTTAGCAGCTTCATGTTTGTTTCTAATACTGCGATTTGATAAACATTGATTTTATTTTAAAAATTTGCTAGTAAAATTGATATTTCTAGGTAATAGTATGAAATCTAAGACAAGAATATATAATGATTTGATTATAACCATTATGCTTGCGATGAATTAGAAAGTGCATTTAGTAATGAGAATTCTTATAGGCATGTGAATTAGTTTCTTTGTCCTTTCCAATGTTCAGTTCAGATAAAATTGTTTAAAAGCCACAAAATTGTATCTAGGAAAGAAAGCACCACTTTGATTGCGTTTTCAATGTCTTATCAGTCCATAGTTTTATCAGACCGTTTTTTTTTAATTTTGCAGCAAATTGTTAAATTACGATAAACTTTATACTTCGAATTTCAGCAGCCTCGTTTTTGTCTCTAATACTTTGATAAGCAATGATTTTACTTTTAAAATTTGTTGGTAAAATTGATATTTCCAGATAACAATATGAAATCTAAGACAAAGTATATGAAGATTTGGTCATTACCCTTATAAATGAACGGATTCAATTCCTATGTAATCAGATAATAGGAGAATCCTCCCCAGTAATTATGCACGAAAAAGCTTTCTTATTGAGCACATGGATTTTTCCAAGTGACAGTCCTATGATTAAAAAAAAAATTCCCTGATCTCAGTATTCGAGAAAGAGCAGCAAATTCGTATTTTTACATTTCAAAAAGTGCAACACATCAACTATATTCATCGTTCAATATGAAAATACTGAACTGAACTGCTATTTAACTTCAAATATGAAACAAGAGAAATTTGGAACTGCAGAGAACTTCGACAGCCACACATGTGATGCTTCTACTATCAGGTTTAATCGAAAAGTTTTTGGACTCCTGGCCATTTTTTATGGAGAGGTATTAGGTTTCATCCGTTAATCGTTTTTCGACTTTTCCGGTACGGAATCACCAGAAGGTTCTAAAAAAATTTATTTTTTCCTACGCGAGACATGTTAAAATTTCCACGTCTCCCATGAAATTACCACCAAAAGTGCATTTATTTATAGCATCAAGATTTCTTTGATTCATAGTACTTTCGAAATTCCAGATATGCAATACTTTAATTAATGTAACATTAAAAGTAGGTATACAAACTGACCTGTAGCCGTCTTCTGAGATTGCGATTTATTTTCATCATTTCTTCCAAAATACAATGTTGCCACAATAAAAAGTACAGCAATTAAAGGTATAAAAACGTGGATGCCTGAAACATAAACAATTTTAAAAGAGTGCGAGATATCTATAAGGGTGGAGCTGCAAAATTTTAAATTTCAAAGTTTGCAAACCTTCGTTGAAAAGTTCTATTTACTATTACTTCCTCACTAAACGCTATTATAGAACGAACAAAAATTTAGTAGCTTATATAAAGGAAAAACAAACCTTCGACAAAATCATAAATGACATCCATCTGATAGTTCTTAAAAGCAAACAAAGGAATATGTCGAGCGATCAATACTCGTTGCTAACTTAGCCATGAATCGATAGGCCTGCACCTCTCTCTCTCTTTCTATTCATCAAATTGCTATGCATATGCCTGTTATGTGTAATGAAATTACTAGAATTTGTCTCATGAATTTTGACCAATCTGATTCAATTTTTCAAACGCAAACTCAATATTTCTCGGATGAATTCTCTGAGATCACTCAGACAGGATTTACTTAAGATAAACTGCAAAAGAAAATATCGATAAATAAATTAATACCTTATGATGTGAGACAAGCGATATCATATTGCGTAATTTGTCACGATATTCCGACCGTAGCACTAAACGTGATGTTAGGATGTTGATTTGACTTTTTCACGTGTTACGTCATTGTGCTATGTCATTGTCTTACTTTTGTCTCCCGTGTTTTGTTCGCATTTTTCCTTTTTAAGTATTCGTTGGTTTTGCAAAATTATTTTTAAAGAAGTTTAATGTTCTAAAGAAGTTTAATGCTTTATATGAAGTCCAATGTTAAGCACTATGATATGAAATATGCTTAATCTTGTAGTGCCTTAAAGTAAAGCTTCCAAGCTGCATTACCAATGCCATACTGATAAGTATTTCATTCACCCATTTTGTACTAGGTTAAAAAATGTTTCCCATTTTTGAGCTCGAGTTTAAAAATTTTGTTATCTTTATGCTTGGAAGTGCTTCTTAGAATAGATTTTTTTTTGGTTCAAACCGAAGATTTGCATTAATGTGCAGTATTTTATTTCAGGATGCTTATTATTTAATCAGGCATCAGTTGTACAGTGAAAATGGTAATAAATAGTGACATATTTATAAACTGGATGTAAATTGACTTATTAAAATCTTTCACTTTGTTAATTTTTATTACAATTATTTGAAAGTTTTAAATTCCTTGTTTTTCTCCCGGGTTTATGATTACTGTGTGATAAAGGATGATTTGGTATAGTTATCACACATCATTCGCATTCAAATTTTCTGAGATATATTGTGGGAAAATAAAAATAAAGTCACAGAAAAATATAATCTAAAGAATGAATTGAAATATCAGTTTTGGTAAATCTCCAAGATTGATCGAACTGTTAGATATCTTTAATAAAATATCAACTTTATTGTGATTTTTCAGCCAAAACACAAGAAGTGGATTGATAAAAAACATTCTAAAACTTTTCGCTTGATTCATCAAAATCAAAGTGCTGATAATTATGATGGTGAAAATGTGCAACAGTCAACTGGAAAGAAGGTGGTGATTCTTGAATTGGGATAATAACGTAAACAATGCTTTTTTGAAATGTGAAATGTACATTTTACATTTCAAAAAAGATAGAATGTCATCTTAAGTCAAAGAGAACATCATTATACAATACTATAAAGGGTCCTCCTTTATCCGTGAATCTGTAGTTCCAATTGCCAAAAAATAATGGAAATGACCGTCAGCATGAACCTTATGCATGAAAGCGGTTAAATTTCGTTATGTTTAAAAATGATTTCATATAAGCCTTCATTACAGAATGCGGAAGAATACGACAGATATGGTATATATTTCGATGATGACTACGACTATTTACAGCATTTGAAGGAGGTGAACGAGGTAAACAGTGCAGTTTTTTAAATTTATTATCTATGCTATATTCATTTGATTTATTTTACTGCTGGTATCACAGTGAGAATATAAATGTGTGAGTGGTGCAACTCTTTTTGATGAAACATAGTGAAGGAAAAGTTGACAAATCTCACTTTTTATTAACTCTGTAGTTGAATAAAAGTTATAGTTATTTAGTTGAGCACTCCTCAGTACAAAATAAATACTAGGATTAGCGAATAAACAATAGCTTTCAGAGTAAAAATGTAGATGCTAATTTTTATATTTTTTATTGGAATCCTATTTAATTTTTTCGCAGTGTTAAAAGCACATTATTAAAATAAACAAGTGAATTTGCAGGTAACAGAAAATGCAACAGAACGTTCTATTATTAGAGTACCTTCGGGAAAAACAAATCTTTTAACAAACATATTCGAAGCAAATGGCTACGAAATCAACGCTGAATTGCTGAAGAATGGGACGTTACTGGGTATGATGAAGAGATAAAAATGTTTTGATCTGTTATTTTGGAATTCCTTTTAATTTTATTTATCCTGTGCATTATTTGTTTTCAAATTTCTCAAAGAACAACATCAGCAGATTCCAGCGTGGATCCTTAATCCCATTTGCTGTCTAATTTTGATGGTAGGCTATCCAAATGAGAAAGAACCTGCATATTTTTTGCTATAGTTAGTTTCATTATTGTGGAGCAAACTATCAACCTCTTGAGAAGCTGTTTTGTATATTAATGAAATACAAAATTATCATATACTGATGCAAAGGGATCCAATGCGCGAGGATAAATGAATTTTGGTTATCATGTAACAGAATCTCCGTAAGAGTATTTCTCTCCATAGGAAATGGTTGCTTTGCTGGGATGACTTTGATTAGTTCTGATTGAAACAAAGAGAAAAATATTTTCAGAAAAGTTTGCAGGATTCTAAATTTCTTGAGGAAATATTACAGACGAAATGCATATCGACCCATATGTTATTGCTGAGCTAACAGCTAATGATGGTATCGAATTCGAAAATCCAACTAATGATCTTGATGACGATTTTGTCTTGCAAGCTAGTGGTGGTGAATTACCTGCATTACAACCGCCAGTATCATTTTCTTTGCGGAAGAATAAATTTCGTGAGAAATTTATTAACAGTGATGACGATAGTGATGAAGAAATGGAACTCGGTATACTTTTAAAATAGTGTAAAAATCGATGATTTCTCGAGTTTTTTGATTTTTTGGCTTTTTTTCAAAGAAAAAGATGATAGGTTTTTTTATTGCTAGGAGTTATTTGCTTTATAAAGAAAGTTATAGTGTGGTTATTTAAACTACTATACGAGTCATTTTTGTCTTTGAAGTTTCGAATTATGACGATGATCAAATGTCGGATGAAGATGCTTTTATTCCTATGAAAAATAAAGAAGAGCTGCGACCGATTGATGAACAATTCGATAAATTATGTGAAGAGTATAGTGAAACAGATGATGAGGAAGCTAATGAGGTAATGTTTTTGAAATTGACACTAATTTTGCGTGTTATGTGTGGGTAGAAAGTTTAACTAAATTGAATTTTAGGACAAAGAGAAGTTTCTTTTGGATCCTAACTCTGATGGAATGAAAATACTTGCTGAAGATTTCAAAAACAAAAGAGTGGAACTTGTTCTGGTTGATATTTTCTTTCTTTTATGCATTTGTTTTACTTTTATGTACTGTGCTTTTTAGAGTATTACTTTCAACGTCATTTTACACACGGCCGTGATCTGGATGTTAATTATGATCATCATAGAAGGCAAAATAAAAACTCCAAAGAGTAGTGTTATAGCATTTCTTCATTTAATTTTTAGTGGACAAATTTTGCAGCAAAGGGATGCATTAGTTCAGCATTATGCCGAAATAAATGATGAAGCGGTGGAGATTGATGAAGAAATGGAGAGGATCACGGTGGTTTGCCCTAAAAGAGAAAAAACCAAATGGGATTGCGAAACGGTTGTTTCTGCTTATTCCAATATTTATAATCGGCCTGCTGTCATCGATGATTCTTCGCGTAAACAAAAATTTAAGTCAGTGCTAAGGCAGCTCGAAGTTTGTTATTTTCAATACCGTCTGTTCTTCTAGAAATTTAAGTTTCTTTTTCTTTCATTTTTTTGCTTACTGTTGAGTTGTTTAATTTCTTGAGTGCTTTCCTAGTGAGTTTATGCAGACATAACACTTCTTTTATGGCAGAGATATCGGCTAATTCGGTCATAAAACTTGTGGCTTTGACCAGTTTTAAGAAGTTTGCATTAAATTGATAAACACGTTGGTAGTTAATTTTGTTCAAAATTATTCATATATCTACTTACTACATAAATACTGCAAGTTGGAGATAAAAATTGAACGCTCAGCTTTTCAAACTTTAACTTTCAAATTTTCTGCAGAAAATGGACTGCTCAGTTCAGTCAACAACTAAGTCAGTGATTTCAAAAGTATCCTCAACAACGATAAGAAAACGTGGAGAAACAGCGGAAGAACGAAAAACAAGGAAAGCAGCTATTAAAATGATTCGAGCTGAGCGAAGAGCAGAAAAGAAATGTAATAAATTAATATTCAAAGAAGAGCGAAAGAAAGCAGCTACATGCTGCAGTGGCTCTATTATTAAAATGATGCCTGTTCTATAAATACTTGTATGCCTATAGCTGTTGAATTCATAAAGGTTTAATGTCTTTTTAAAGTGATATTTGTTGACGATTTCTTGCTTGACAGCTCATGTATAGTAGGATCTTATCTTTTCTGACTTTTTGCATTTCAAGCAAAATTCGAGTTTGATGTGGTAGCATAGGAAAATCAGAATTTATCATGATTTTGAGATTTTTAACGCATTTAAGATTTCCAAAAATCAGATTTTTGAAAATTTTTAATATTTTTGTATTATGATTTTTTTGTCTTCATTTTATTAAGACATTAATGAATAAACAGACTTTAGTTGGTATGGACACATCTTAAAAATTTCTTTTTGATCACTTTCATAAACGTCAGCTATGAATAAATTTCAAATTGTTAATGTTGGATGTAATTGTTACTTTAGTTCGGAATAAAAATATTTTTTTTTTGTTCAGTTTATTTTCGGATGTTATAACATCTTCGGATGGAATCATCTTTTCGTAAAAGTTTTGGAAAATTGTAATAGATGTTAAGATTTCTCTGAGTAACAGCAAGGAAGAATTTGTTGCAGTGGTCAGCGAGGGTTTAGTTGTTTTGAAATTTGAAATCATAGTTCCACAGATGAAATAAAGGTTCTGAAGAAAATTTCATTGATTTTATTTGTAATGGGTGAATGTTAGAATATTGACAAGGAAGGTAAAGTTGTTCAATTTTTGCAAAATATGGAATTGGCAGGACGGAAAAAGATCAGGTGTTCAGACTGTTTGGACTTCAAAGCAGAGTTGATATGGAAGCTACTTTATCAAGATAATAAGGGCAATGGGATTAAATATTACAGCTAAGAAAAAGATCAGAATGTAAAGAACATAATAAATAGATCTGTATATATTTTTACCTTATGTATACTTAGTTTTATTTGGCAAAGTTTTAGATGGCTAGATTAGAAATGTAGCATTAATCTAGCTGGCACTCTTTATAGTCTAGGAAGTAGATATCTCTGATTTAAAGGAAAATATATTTTAATTTATAAATTTACACCGCTTTTAACGTTTTAGCTGAGGGCGTTATCATGAAATTTCAGATTTTGTTACATTTAAGAAGTTCCCATTCATATGACAATTGGTTTTTTATATCATTTTGTTTATGGATTATTCATTTTATTTATGGATTACCATATACGATAATTAATAACCTTTTATATCCTTTTTTAACCGATTTTATCAAGATTTAGTTCGATATTTTGATGGCATTTTGGATATTTTCATGGACCGCGTGGATTGCGTGGATTATCTCTATTATTCTTACCTTAGCCATAAATTGGGATGATGACATTATTGCTACTCCAGAAGAATTAAGTCTTTCTTATTATGGTCCATTATGGACTTATTTTGGTAATAAAACTGAAAATGTTTCAATCTTTCATTCCCGTGAGTATATGGAAAAACGTGTGGGCAAGCTCAAAGACATTGATCCGGAAAGGTTGTCTTTTGTTCCGTGAATTTAATTATAAGTGGATAATTTATTAATATTGAGATTTGGGTAGTCCATTAAAATTAAAAAAAGAAATGTTGTCCAAATAAAACCCTAATATTTTTGCTATTGTTTACAGAATTTTCAATCATAATTATTTATCTATGACGGCTTGGCTGAAGGAATATGCTACGAAATATCCAAACATAACCTGGTTATATTCAATTGGTGAAAGTGTGAGGAACAAAACATTATGGGTATTGGCCATTTCAAGAAGTCCTCATATCCATAGGCTTGGTATTCCAGAAATCAAATTTGTTGCTAACATGCATGGAAATGAAGTAATTTATCAATTTAAACTACATTGTAATATTTTATGGAATTAGCAATTCAATCTAACACAAATTTAGATTGGTTGGGTATTGGTTTAATTGGTTTTAAAAGTAAATCAATTTATGACATTTTAAGAGTATTTGTGAGTATGATTATATTTGAAAGAAACAGAAAAGGATAGCAGAATAGTTTCCCGTTTTATTTACTCAAATCTGACACAATACATCAGTCGCAGTTGTCTAGTGGAAATACACTATTACTTTTTGAGTTTCTTTTTGGTGAAAGATGATGTAATTACAACTGTTGTTCTTTATTTTGCTTTTCGTTCAATTAAGGCATTCACATTTGTTAATTTTCTTTCATTGAAAGGAAATTGAACATTTTCTACATAGTAGTTCATTGTTATTGCAATTCAATCATTTGGCAAGATCATAGGTACAATATTTACTTTTTATAGATTTTTGAACAATGATTACTGTATTGTACATGAAAGAATAATTGTAAGCCATTATTTTTATGTAATGTTTAAGGTTGTAGGCCGCGAAGTAATGCTTTATCTTATTGCGTTGTTGTGTGAGAGTTATGGAAAGAATGAGTACTTGACGAATTTAGTAAATAACGTGCGAATTCATATTATGCCTTCAATAAATCCAGATGGTTATGAATTAAGTAGCGAAGGTGATCGTTCTGGATTTACTGTAAGTTTGCGATTATAACCAGTTTACAATTAGAGGCTAAACTGATATTATTCTAGATCGAAATTTTCAAAGTTTTTTCAAGTCATATTGTTTCTATTTACTGTCTCAAGTGATTTTCATATCCATTATTAATAGAACTAAAAAAGGAATGACACTTGCAGGATAGTAGTACTAGTGTTATTAATTCAGAAAGAATCCGGTACGGATTCCTTCATATTTAATAATTAATCATTCATTCAGTTTTCTTTTTTTTTTTACTCATCTATCTTTTATGCTAATTATGTTAAAAATTGCAATCCGGCGGTTTTATAGGGTCGTTCAAATGATCACGGTGTAGATCTTAATCGGAATTTCCCTGCACGTTTTCCTTCACATCGAGAAATGTCTGGAGGAGTGTTTCTCGAAAAAGAAACGTTGGCAGCAATCAAATGGTTCCGACAGTACCCATTTGTCCTTTCTGCTAATTTCCATGGAGGTTCTATTTTGACTTTTCTTTATACTTAGATATACAGAAGTTTTCTGAAAGTTTTAGAAGAATTTTTAGATGCAAATTTATTTTCTTTTTGACAGTTCTTTGAAGGTCATGGCAACAATAAAACGAACGATGTGAAGAGGGTGTTTTTTATAGCTTCGGTAATTAGATTTTTTGTTTAAAGTAAGCTCAAAATCTCCTTGCTTAACTGGTTTGGAATTTCTGTTTTGTTGATGGATAATATAGCTGCCAACTTTTCTTTCTATTCATGGAATGTGACATGAAAATTCTTGTAAGCCACTATTATTCAGAATACGAAATAAAACTTGGGAATACTTTTTTTGTTAAAGAGAGATATCACTTGCAATAGTGCATAATTACATTTTTTGAAAGAGCATGGCTTGTGAGCAGAAAAAGTTTACGTAGGAAAAAACATTGTTAGTAAGCTTTTCAGGTTCGTTAGTAGCTAATTATCCTTACGATGACTCAACGACTGGACAGGACAATATTTATTCACCAACTGCAGATGATCGACTTTTCGTAGCTTTAGCATACTCTTATGCTCGAGCACATTCTAATATGTGGAAAACCGGTCGGAGGTAGATCAATGTTTGTTTCGATTCTTTTTTCTTTAATTAAACATCTTGAAGACCTTATTTTTCAGTTATCCGTAAATTAAAAAATTTATCGCCAACATCAAACATGCATTATTTTTTTTAAATCTTGTTGTCTTTATTATCTGGAAAAATGCTTTATTAGACCCAGAATTTTTTTAGAAATTTTGCTGTTAAAGATGTGGATTGAGTGTTGATGGTGATTTATTTCTGAATGGTATTACAAACGGTGCACTGTGGTATCATGTGGCTGGTGGAATGCAAGACTGGCAGTATATCAATACAAATTGCTTGGAAATTACCATAGAGATGGGTTGTTACAAATTTCCTGAAAGAAGTATGTTGCAGCAACTGTGGAATGATAACAAATATTCACTTTTTGCATACATGGAGTACGTACATCGAGGTGTCTTTTATTTCTTTTTTTATTTTAGAATATACGTTCTTTGTATCTCTTCTACCTATTAATTTCTATGTTTGTTTATTGCTATTAGAGGATGCGCTATAACGAACGGGATAAGGATCACATAGTTATAGATAACTTGAAATAATTCAGTTCTGGATTTAGCATTTTCTTGATATTTAGGCAAGTTATTTTGCATTCAGGGATAAAAGGATTTGTACTTGATCAAGAGGGATATCCAGTAAAAAATGCCGTGTTATCGATTGATCAAGGAAAGAATATAACAACAACGGATGAGGGCGAATTCTGGCGAATTCTGCTGCCTGGTATATACACGGTATTTTTTTTTGATAATTTTTAAGGTTGCAGTATTGAAGTTTATTCATTTTTCTGTACTTTAATTTGTTTTAAGGTGTTGGTTAGCCATCGAAAGTATTTGCCGCAAATTTTCAATATAACCGTGGATGAAGGATCTGCAAAAGTCATCAATGTCACATTGGAGCAGAAATTCTGCAGGGAAAATAGTTCAGTTTTTTGTTTGGAAATATTACTTTTAAAACATAATTTCTTCATAGAGATGTTTTACTAGCATCAAAGTTTTTTAAATGTATACTTTTCAAATGCTTGTAGGTAGTTTTTAATTTTGACAACGTACAAATAGCGTTATATTATAATTTCATGACTGATATTCAAAAGTTCGTCTCTATAGCAAAGAATGATTAATAATATAAATTATTTGATCTTAATATTGATGCAGTTGATAGTGTTCGTGTAAGAGGAGAAGGAGCAATACGCATTGCGGTGTTTGGGGTTGATTCATTGGGGAAGTCCATCGTCCAAGAATTAGCAAATGTTACCTGCTTACCGGAGGATTTATTTGTTCCAGTACTTCAGCAATCTACATTACATTTACTCCCATCATTGTCAGCAGAACATGCTCTTTATCTGAAGGTTATTTTTGTTTAGAGATTACATCGGAAAATCCAATTTGATCGCAAATAATACATGTGAAGTTATATTCTTCAGTGTTAAGTGGTTTTTAAATATGTATGTACTACGCTGTTATGCACATTTTTGAACAATGGGGATTTTTTTCATAGGAAAAAGCTGATGATTTATTGTTTTGATTGCAGGATCATGAGCTAGATGTGCTATTATTGTTTGGACAAGGATTACCAAAATCAACATTATTTAGCGCCGGAATTAACACTCCCGCTCAGTTCGATCAAAAAAAGTTTGATGATAGTTTAATGGTGTAAGTGATCATTTTTTAATAAATTCTGTTTTTGTGTGTGAAAGATCGTTTGACAATTCTAACTGTCTACCTATTCACGGCGTAATTGAAAACTCACTTTTTTACAAAAGAAAATTTATCCAGCATTCCCCATTTAATATTTGAATACCAAAAATAAATTCTTCTAAATGATTGTATTCACCAAACAATTTTGTTTTTGCAGAACATTGAATAATGAAACTATTAGCTGTACGAATCATATGCTGGACAGAACGGTTTCATCGATGATTGATGCGTTAAATATACTGAAAACATTTCAACTAGGTGTCTCATTAGGTTGTAATCTTAGTCAGCCAGAATTAACGCTTGCGACTGTTGCTGCTGTTCTACAGGTACAACTATAAAATTTTTAAAATATTGAAAGAATTATCTGTTCTTCATATTCTAAATGTTGAATTTCATGCTGAGTTTCGGAAATTCTGGAAAATTCAGAATAATAAATTTTAGACTGTAGTAAATGTTTTTGTTGGTATGCAAGATCTCGTAACAGAATATTCGACGACACCATCTATTGATTTGGCAGATTATTTCTCGCCAGCAAAGACGATTGAAGCAACTAGCCTACAAAGTATCGAAGAAAAGAATTGCGCCTCGATGATCAATATTGGTTTGATGAAAGCTATAGTATTTGGTAATGGCCGTATGCCGTATACTCTTGTGATGGCTATTGAACAGGTGCATTGCTTTTAGTATATTAAATGAGAAAAGTAGAAATAACTTCTGAAAATTTAAACATAGGTAGGATAAATATTAAAAAGAAATGCAAAAATTTTTCTGCTGTCGATAACGTAGAACCATATCTGTCCTTCACCTTATGATTTAGCTTGATTTAACGGCAGAATTCAACTGCTCGTTTAAAGTAATTAAGAAGCGAATTTTCAAAAATAAAATTTTTAATTTTAGAAGACGTCATCGATGGTTTATGAATTTGCAGCGGATCTTTGTGCGAAATCATTACAAAATCAAATTATTCGTGAACTAATGAATACATCAACGTTAATTTTGATTCCGAGCATACCATATAAGCAGTTATACTGTTATGATTATATGTCAGCGATACAGTTTAAACCATTCATTGAACAAGTTTTGAATATTTATCCTCTTATCGATTATGCCATACTATTGGGTACAGGTGGGATGAAAGTGCGCTATACTGATGCTTCCGGACTGGGAAGAGCGAAGGATTTGGCATTCAATTATGTCTCGTTGCATTCATTAATCAAACCGACTGGAAATGAAATGTGTAACAGGTAAATACTTTGTGAATTAGCTCTGACTATCTGAAAAAATTACACATCCATTATAATATAGGACCACATTACCGCTAGTCTGCAGCCATAAACTTTATTCGTTTTTTTATTCTTCCCTTCTCCTGTTTCTTCATTTCTTGACACTGAAAGGTTTTTTAATTGTTTCATATCTCTGTTAGGGTTGAAATTTCTTGCTTTTTTAATTTGGAAGTCAAATTTTACAATGAAATGTAGAATTAACAGTTTGAAAAATTAGGGCGTTCCAATACAACAAAATTATCCATTTTCTAACAGTTTTTAACCACTAATCTTCGAGAATTTGTTTTATTTTTAGGAATGATTTTATACCACAACCAACTATAAGTGAACTGCGTTGGAATGGGATGGAGTGGCGAAAGGTACCGGATATTCTGCTTATTCAGACAGCTTGTTGTTATGAGGAACGCGGAACAGGACATCTTTATGCAGAAAATAAGGCTTCACTTATATCGACTCTTTCTAAGGTTTTATTTTTTGTGAATTCAATTCAAATTCAGGCTTTTTATAAAATTCTCTGTTTAAGAGTCACATCAGAGAAACATAGATCTTATACGGAAAGATATTGTTTAATAGGAATACAGAGTGGATTGTTTTTGCAATAATATTTCTTTATTCCTTGAATTGGTCATTGTTGTTTCCTTGGAGTGAACAATGATCAATTTAAGGAATAAAGAAGTATTAGAAATGTTGCTTAACTCCTTTGGAGTTTTTATCTGTTCATCTTTTACAATTTTTATTCATATCGGCCACTAATTATTTATTATTTTATTCCTTTCTTTTCTGGCATGTTGAAATTTTTGTATAAGAGACTTTTCTAGAGAATACAAGGTTTATCGGGTACTATCAAAGGAATCTATGGTGAACCAGTGAAAGCACCGGTAAAGGTAACAGTTGGCAATTTCGTTTTTTATACAAAACATGATGGTTATTACTATATTTGGTTATCGCCTGGAATTTATATCGTTGATGTACACAAGGAGAATTATCATCCGTACACTTTCTCTACTGAAGTACGTTGCAATTTTTTTTTAAAATTATTTAGTTTTTTTTGGAATAATTTTCCTCACAGACTTATTTTTTTTATATTGAGTTATTTTGATAAGTTTTAAATAATCCAAAATACGATTTTGGAGGGATTTTTTAATTTCCAATTAAAACAAATTAACACTTTTGCTCTCAAATTCCTGAATAACTGCAGATTGCTTTATCTAAGCAGACGATACATGATATACTGTTGGTGGAATCCTTCTCATTTTCTTCACTCTTCAGGAGAAAAAATTTCTTTATTTCATTCACTGCATTTTGTATCTTGACACTCGTTTTTGTAAGTGTTTTTTCCTTCATCCTATTTATAATTATTGTGTAAAATTTGCGAAGTACAGTTCCCCTCATGTAACTGAACTTTTGGTAGCAATACAGGTGTAATATAATGTTAAGATGGAACAAAACTTGCTTTTAGAGAGTAATGCAGGTTAATAGCGTAATTATCAAATGGATTAAATGGAATGGTTTAATGATTCGTATCGTAGTACGATTAAGTGAATGTTGGCGATATAATTATCCTGATAGGATAAAAATATTTTACTTGAAAAAAGTAATAAAAGCTGATTTTTGGGTATAAGGCAAGGCACCTTACATCTGTTTAAAATAAATGAAATATTTTCTCACCATCTCTTCAATTCTTTCTTTTTTCACGCTATCAAAACTATAAGATCTTGAAATGTATTTGCAGGTTGGTCTATATCGATTAAGTGTTGTACACAGAATGAAATCGATAAAACGATGGGGAGATGGTTTTGAGCGTCTTCCATTGAATGATTTCGATTCCAATGTATCCGATGATGATGATATTCTTCTTGATTCGACCAAATCACCCCTTCAGAGGCCATATTGAACAATTATTACTTAATTTTTTCGGAACGCATAGCGCTTTTTTCTTGCTTTTTTAATATTGCTTCTTTTATTTTAAGCTGCAATTTTTTGTTACTCCAAATTCTTTTATATATTTTATGTTATATTGATATTTTGCCTTACATCAATCCTTATTTACATATTTGTGACAGTATTTCTTTGTGCTGAAGTGTTTCCTGATAGTGGAATTGAATTAGAGCTAGTTTGTGAGCAAGTTAGGATTTCCCTCCCTTAATAAATAACGGTCTATTCACTGTCCTCCATTACTTATTTTAAAAACGTAATAACTATCACAAGGAAATTTTAAAATGCATTTAGATTCTTCTAATATATATTAGTTTTCATGTGTATGCTTTTTTATGTATTGATAAAAAATGTGTGTGTGTGTGTGTGTGTGTGTGTATGCTTTTTTTTTATGTATATCATATATGACCCATCTTTTGGGTCATATATGATAATTTTATATTGCCACTAGGTCGATTATATGAATGTTTAGAGTGGAAAGTTGTCACCGAATCACAATACAAAATATTTTTTTATAATTACATTCTCTTATTGTTGTTGTGGTTCTTTGGAATCTATTTTTGATTGCCGTCATGTAAGTGTGATACTTGTTTATAGGAATTACTTTATAAGGCAAAAACGAAGAGAACTTTCCTGGTCTTGTAATGATTGCTTAGCCAATTCATGCTCTTGTTGAGTCTTCAAGACTGCCTCTAAGATTTTTCAGGAAATTTATTCTTATGCTGTCTTATCTGCATTTTTCGTCTTTCACTTCCATCATAGCGCATCTTAGCTCTTCATTTTAACTCCATCTGTTTCTTGTTTCATTTGTATTATTTGTTGGTGTTTTTATTGTATATATTGTTAATTAATTCACTGGAATATATTCCTGCCGGAATACTTCCACTTATTACGACACTTTTTCTTCGCTCCATTTTTATTTCGAAAAAAAATATCAGCCACTGAGATTTTATTTTTTTTCTTTTAAAGAAATAACACCAAATAATTTAATTACGGTCTTAATCAGGTAGTTAATCATGTTTGAATTGCATCCAGTACTCTTCATTTTGAACTGCATTCAGTATTTTTTTGATATTATTTTTGACAATACTTTTTTAATGATAGTTGTTTGGAAAGCTTAAATAGCTATTTGGAATTTTCGACCAAATTATTAAAAAAGTCCGTGCTTCGAGATTTCTGATAAGTTCACTGTTGAAAATTTGCAATTAGCTCAAACAACTGGAAAATCTGGACTTTGACTGTTCCTTTGGTTCCACATTTTTTAATCGAATTTCTTGAGTTCACAATTTATATTCAAGGAAGCCCCAAAATGTCTTCGGAATATTACTAAGAAATTTTGGATTTCCCTTTCATATTATACGAAAATGTGATGCGAAACAAAAATTTTAGAATTAACGTGGGGAGAGATATCACAGAATTAGGAAGTGACTGAGCGAGTGATGAAACATCAGCAATTGATTCGGGAATTAGCGATGGTCATAATCAAAATCGTCAGAAAAACTTTAAAAATGATTCAAAAGTTTTTTTTATTTTCTTTAAAATTGACATTGAAGAATGACAAAGTCCGGACTCATGATTTGCTGCGACCCTTTAGTAGAAAAATAGTAGTGAGAAATAAAGGGGATGGTAACCGCGATTTGCAAAAGATTACATTATTTTTTAAGCTGGAATTTTCCAAAAGTCGATTTTTGAAATCACTGGTCCCGAATGAAATCTTCCAATTCTAATATTTCATCAACCATCATAATAATATTTAACAGAGGAAAACACGGGTAAATGAAATTCGCACAAAATCGATTTTATGTCAGGGAAACTTCATTCTGAGTGGAGAACGCGATATCGCTGTAACATAAGATTGAAGACAGTAATATATGAAATAAACAGTAGAAATAGGTGGGAGGAATTCCAGTACGTGATTAATGGAAACGATAGCTCTGAGCATTTTTCTGACTTACTTAAAGTGGATGGAATCAATCGATAACCGTAACAATGTACTAACATTACTGTTGTAAAATATATGAAAAAATTCTCATGTAACCCACGTATTTTTGTGATTTCAAAAAGTTAACGGTTTCATTTTAAAAGTTGAAAAATTAATCACTGTCATTTGTATTTTGACTGAAGAATAGGTCTTGTTAATTTGTAACCATATACCCAATTTTGAAGTTTCAAGCTTCTTTTTGAGTCATTACGTTGATTCCCAATTTCTTTTTCATATACTCCCAGTGACACAGACAGAGCAAAAACGAGTGCATTATACGCATCCTTTATCTCACTTCATTGTTACAGTCAACGACGGCAAGCACTTATACAGATACAAAACATTTAAATGCGCATTTTTCTAATTTAAAAAACATGGATTTTGAATGATAAATTCATGAGTAAAATGATTTAAGATGTTATGGATTTCAGATAACAAATTCATGGATAAAAAATGATTTAAAAGATGTTGCGAATTCTGAATAACAAATTCATGAGTAAAAATCATGAATGTAACCAAGGGATTTCCTCTGAAGAAATAAACGAGGTATGACTTTAACCAAAAGCGCATGCTCGCAACATTAAAATACAAAGAAATTGCCTATGAAAAAAGAAAAAGCGATGGGAAAAATTTTCGTTCATGAGCATTTTACGGAATTAACGAAAAGCCACTTAAAAGGATGTTTAGGTAATTTATCACATTCAATATCGTTCATTAAAATAATAAATTAAAAGGCATTCTTAAAATGAAATAGCAAACGGTGAGCCTGCTACACTGACATCGCCGTACTTGATAAAAATAAAACCTGTGACTTCTTCCTCAATAAGATATTTGACAAGATATTGGCCATTACCAGTATATTGCAAAGCAATTTGTTGACATGGCCCTTTCGATGTGAGTAGACCAACATACAAAATATTGTCTCCTTAATAAGTTATTAATTTTCTTATCAGTAATTTCTCGCAATTACTGCTCCTTAAAGCTTAAACAACACCATTAAGCCATTTTTCTATTTTTACCATCCCTACTCAACCCTCGCTTCTCTCTTTTAAATATAAAAAATAATTCTTTGCAACCACAGTTTGCATATTTGAAGTATTTTTGAAGAAAAACAAACCTGCGAGACTTGTATCGATGTTGAAGACGGCCAAGTGACCAGGAAAAAATTTGTTCAATCCAGGGCCCGTCACTACAACTTTGCTTGCATCTCCGAAAAAAACTGGAGCCTGTTTAATGATATCTTTTCTGATTCTAGCGCGCGCATCAATCTTAAATTTGATGCCCTTTTACATTTCTTAGCACTTATTATCTTTGCTAGCTATAAAGTGATGACAAAGTATGACGAAAGCAAAATAACCTTCAAAGATGTACTGCCTGGCTTGCTATCATCAAGTTTTTTACCCTCTACAACAATCTTGAATGGGGAACCAGGAATATGAATACCTATAAAAGGACAGAAGTTAACGATAAAGGTAGAGTAAAAGAACATAATCTAATGGAGTTAAAAATGGAAAATAATTCCGAGCTGCGCTCTGAATATTATGTTCGATATGGAGCAAAAAACTCATTGAATGATGGTGTTCTTTTCTAATTTTTGAAGGAAAGAATAAATTTCACTACGAATGATTTAATTAAATTCATTAGATTTGTGCTCGCAATATAATCTCTTTTTTAGCCACATTTAGCTTTTTCGTTATAATATTGTAATCAATTAGTGATTTGGTGATATAATGGAAAGGGCAAAAAAGAAATTTTTTTGTAAAGAAAAATAAAAGCTTATATTTTTCATTCTCAAACAAACCTGAATATTTGATAGTCACATAATATGGTCCAGGTGCTAATGCAATGTAACACACTTTGTAACCTTCTTCCACATGAAAAACAAATAATAATTACTTGAAAAAGAATGATGACTGAAAGACAACGCTTACATGGAAACAAATACATCTTATTTAATTGTATCTAATTCCACTGTTTTTCTAATTATTGTTTAACAGTAGTCAAATCGCTAAATTCTGATCTAAAGGACATTTTGAAATAATATAAAAATTTGTTGTTTACAGAAGAACATCTCATGTATTTTGACAATGACTGCGTGGTTTACGAAAACTTGCCAATAACTTTTCCAAGTCACCACCAATTTAAAAATAACGACTTACAACAAATTTAAAAATAACGACTTAAAGGAATGTGAGCTAAACGATTAAATGACTAACATCACATGCATTCAAGGTAACTTCCGATGGTCCATCAAACCAGACTTGGAGAAGACCCATTCCGGCGTTGCAAGTATTGATAATAAATGAAGAAAGCTCGCCAGTTTGTCCGCCATGAATACCGTCACCAGCCACTGTTATTACTGATGGATCATTATTCCAGCCTGTGCCAATTCGAAATCGAAAAGGTGAGTCATACATAGGTGTACCATCAAGCGTCACATCAACGTAATAGTCTCCAGTCTAGAAAATATTCATTAAAAATAAGAATCAGCAGATAAATTATAAAAAATACGGATTAGTCTAAGCACAAAATAACTTGAGGTTTTTTAGCATATGTGAATAATGAGAATTCATAACCAGAACATTATACAAGAATGAATCAACAAAAATACCTCTATAGGAATGAATCGTACGCAGTATGAATCACTTTCATCAATTGGAAGGATATCAACTGCTTCAATCCTGTTGCTTGGCGTATGAAGCTTCGCTTCAAGATGACCTGTTGCACCATGCGTATTTATTATAAAAGAACATATTTCACCCAGTGTTCCAGAATCTGAGAGTGATGTTAATTCCAAACGTCGAACTTCTCCAACTGTAGCAACAGCAAACATCTTAAAAAATCAAAACTTGATATAAGACAACAAAATTGATGAACCACTCATGGTCGAGAACGTCTAAGAACTTACTACTCAGTAACCTAAAAGCATAAACAAAGTAAGAATTAGAAACTTTGAATGGTGAGTCTGGTATATGTTCAGCATTGAATTTGACTGATATAAGGTATTCTCCCGGCTCTGTAATTTTATAGCACAAATGACAGTTTCCATCCTAAAAAAACAACAATAAAAAGAAGCAAGAACAGTCAATGTAGAGATTTCTGACATTCAGCATAGCAAGATAATTTTAAGAATTTCAGATTTAGTAATCAAGAACCTAGTCAACAATGACATTGCTTGCAAAGAATTTATTAATCTGCTTAAAAAAAGAAATCAAAAAAAAATTATTTGACTCAAATGACATGCAGTGTTTTCTTAACTGATCACGGCAAGTTATATTGCAGTCTTACAGTTTATTACAGTCTCACAGCAAAACCTGCTACAATTAGTGGTAAAAAGATATGATGTACAATTTTTTTAAAATAGCAACAAATCGTTATATAAAATAGGCAAAAATATTTACGTTACTCATATGATTTTTTTGAAAGAATGAAGCTTGCAATACCACCAAATTCCTGCTTTTAAGTAAAAAAATTTTCACCTCGTGTTCATGAAACTGCAAGTCGGCTTTTGATGGCCCTTCCATCGTTATTTCAAGTTCTCCTCGTCCAGCCTCTCGGGTGTAAAGATTGAAAGATTGTTTCTTATTAATTTCTGCTCGCTTCAATCCGATTCCTGCTGCTCGTACCTTGTGTGCGCCCATTTCATTCAAATGTCCTACGGTAAACTGGAAGGGACTTCCTGCAAAAAACAGTGACTTATTTCAAATTTCAAATTCTCTAAACCTCGATAAATGAATATGTACACGAATATGAAGAATACCTGAAACATGTTTTCCTTTGTTGAAAACGGAAATTGCATGCCGACCATCCACTGCAGGGGTGAATTCAATGCGATAAAGATGGTCACTAAGATCACGAATTTTAATATCTTTGCTGCATCCATTAGGATCAACGATTTTTGCTTTTGTGTCGTTTAGTGATATATTTTCCAGTTGCAAATATATAGCAGTATTTTGTCCGGGTAAAACTATTGGCGCCTGAAGATGATTTCGCAATATTTCTTCCATAAGATGGAGTAATAATGCCAACTCATGAAAACAAATTCCAATAGGTTTTCAATGTTCACATTCCATCAATATTTAAAAGTTTTTTAAAAAATACTCACCTCTTTCATTCTCAAATTGGCGCTTTCTTTCTCGACTCCCAACCCCTTTCCGGTACAGTTAATCGTGAATGGGCTATCTACAAGTATAAAATTTTACTAGCTTTTCCAGAAAACATAAATGTAACATAATGAGTAGAAATAGCACAATTCATACTAACCATTTACATGCGCACCAGCAAATTTCACAGACAAAATGTAAATTCCAGGTTCGGTAGGTCTATAAACAACATTAGCTAGACCTCCTTTATTTTCGCTACATTTCAGTTTTGCTTCTGACGGTCCCAGAATTGATATTGATAAATTACCACAACCTGAAAAATCAAAAAAAAAATATGATGCCAAAAGAAAGATACATCGCTTGATAAGACTTAAAGGGATAAAAATATGTTTAGTAACAAAAAAAAATATTGTTAAATCAATGAAGATAGAATGAATCAGCAACGGATAATTGCTTTCAACACAAATTTAACACGAAAAACTTTTTTCAAGCAATAGTGTAAATATTACCAGCATCACGCGTATCAATTGTAAAAATGTTGTCTTGCTGACAAATAGCATTTGCTTTACCTTCTCCACTAACAACAACTTTGGATGCATTTCCAGACTAAAATACGCCACAAATATTTTTTTTTCTTTGCAGTATGCAGTTAGATAAATGACTAACTAAAAGTTAAACACTCACTTGATTTATAATATCTTTAACTGGAATGTATGATTTTTGTATAATTTGTCCATTCTTTTTAATAGTGATCAAATGTTCGCCCAATTCATGCGGTAAGAATGAAATACCTAAAAACAGTTACAATGGATGAGTAATCCTCTTACTAATGCATCATGCATCCAAGTGAAGATCAATCATCGTTTACTGCAAAAAAAAGCTTAATTTCAAACTGTCAGCTTAATTCACCTGCTAATTAGGCTGTGTGTAAAATAGACTATATTGCAGTTTAATCTTTTAAAACTGCCTGAAACTTTTGTAATTTCGTCAACACTTTCTGTTTCAATAGGTCTCGTGTCGGTAAATTCTAGCAGATACTAAGCTATTTGGGAGTTTCAAATCTTGAAATCGCGAAGCAGAACGAGCCGAACTGTAAGCTGCAGCCAAGCTGAGCTGCAAACAGTGACATATATAATGAAAAGATACTTAGAAATAGGCAAGCTTCCTCATCCCTTTTTGATGTCGAATCCAGATTCAAAATTCCACTGTTCTAACATAATCAGATGCTACTTAATCTAGCAAAATTTTTCCGTGAAGAAGTAAGTCGCAGTCACACTGCATCCTAACTTGTATTGACAAAACTGACGTTTTCCACAGTCTAAGTGTTTAAAATTACGGAAGTCACTGAACAGTAACAGAGATGTAGGATTCCTCTAATATAAGAAGCAAAAACTGATAAGTTTTTATGTTTTAGAATTTCCAAGTGAGCATAAAGAGAGAAATCTGCTTAAAAACTTCCAGAAGAGAGATTATAAAAAACAGGCTAAAAAATTAAGAGTTAGGTTTGTATGAGTGTATCTAAGTCAGCATCTCATAAAATGATTCAATTCTCATTTTCCGAGTAAATTAATCATTCAGAAATAAATTCATGCATTAATTAATTGCTCTGCAATAGTCTGAAAAAAAAAAACATGTATGCTGCTATTCTCATAATCGGCAACTACTAATCCACTGGATAGAAAAGAAGTTGCGAAAATCAATCATCAATTGAAAAATGATGGTTATTGTATAGAAAATACTTTTTAAAAATGTTCGAAATAGCAATGCTCAGTCGCAACTTTGTGATCATATAGTAAAGGTTTTCCTGAAGTTTTTGGAATCTTTTTAAAATTATTCATTTCTTGTATAAATTGCTTAAGTTGCTTTGTCTGACATTACGATAATTAGTAACTCTCTGAATGTATGCAGTCTTCGCAAAAAAAACCAAAGAATAACATCTTCGTCTACTTTCATAATTCAATAATCAGTAACGTCAAGAAAAGGAAAGTGTACAGGAGTTACCGATGTGGGTAGGATCAATCTGACGAATAATGCATGGTTCCTCAATCCCATTTGGACTTTTAACTGATGCTGATAAGTTTTCGATTCCAGTGTTCTCAACATTAATTATAATCTGTAAATTTGAAAAAATGAATAGTATAAAGCTACATTAAAATGTACACTAAAAAAATGTGGCTGAATATACACTCTATAGTTAATAAATATTGTAATACCTGCATATTTAAACTTGATATTTTTCAAAATAAAACCGGAAGTGTGAAAGTGATTTGCTTATGAATATATATAACCCTTATCCAACTCAGAGATGCTAAATCTGATTAGAAAATTTTTACAAATGCAAAAAAAAAGAGAACTGAAACAAATTATCTGGAACCTCCGCTAATGCCGTTGATTTAAGAGATAAACGTGCTCGCTTTTGACCTTCCTCTTCCACAAATACAATGAAGGGGGAATTTTTCACTGGTTTTCCGGAAAGTTTAACGTAAATTTTGTATCTCCCAGGCACAGGGGGTGTCCATACTACGGAGCATGTGCCATCCTGCAAGAAATTATTAGTAGTGCGCAGAAATAATTGAAAGAGGAAGTTTCATATAGAAAGTCAGTATAACAACCTTGTTATCATGACATTTGATTGTAGCTTTCGCCGCGCCTTCAATAGCGACAGATAAATTTTTGGTGGGTGAACCTTTCGCGCAAACTGTAAATGCTGCTGGTTCACCGACAACTGCCTGCAATAAGCCAGGGCCATATACTGTCGCATATTCTTCATCTGCTTCATTCACATAAAATGAAATCGGACTTCCGGACATGTTAATGCCATCATGTTGTATAAACAACTGATGATTGCCACATTCTTTTGGATGATATGTCACTGTTACACTTCCGTCTCCATTACACTGTAAATAAAACATCGACATGAACTATTAACATGAAACTATTAATCAACATCTGAAAAGCACAAAATTTTTAATATAGGTATTGAATCAGATACGATCATTAAAACTACTGCTTTTCCCTATAAATACTGTTTTCTAATATTCATTATAAAATTCAAAAAAAGGAGTTTCAAAACTGCAATAACTTAATGAATAGTTCCTTGCACTAAGGACAAAATACTATTAACCACTAAACTTAATTCAAGCAACCAGTTTAAACGTTTTAACCTGGGTATATATGCGGAATCTTCTAACTCACATTAATGTAGGCAATATCATCTGTACCAGATGGCATTTTAACACAAGCAGCAAGTTTGTCGAACTGGTATTCTGTAGCAACAGCAAAACGAAAACTGTGAGGTGCCAGATGTTCGTCATCTTTAGACTCCGCTATTCGCCCAGAAACATTCTTCTCACTCAAACAAGATGAAACACACTGCAAATGTCTTGAACTTTGTCTTAGAACATTAGAGTTTTTGGAAAGTTTTTGAAAATAGAAAGACACTTTCTAATACTTGATCATCACTTGCTTCCTCTAACAAAAATTTTCCATCACCTACAACTTCATATTCGTAATAAACAATGCTTAATTTTAAAAGGGAAACCTCGAAATCGAATATTGCGTCAGGTATATTAACACCTCCATATAATAACGTAACTCGATGCCGCCCCTCAGCATGTGGCGTAAGTGTTACAATGTAAAAGCCATCCTCTTTTTTCTCAATTCTTGTTTCTAAATCAACACTATCCGAAAGCGCATTTAATGCACCTTCTCCTCCATCCTTGGTGTTTACCACAAAAACTTTTGATTCGCCAACAGTCCAAAACTTATCAGGTGATTCTGCTGAAACAATTTACAGTACAATAAAGAAGTGCACCGAAATCTTAGCAATATTAACATAGTTGAACAAAAAATTTTAAACAATAAACAGTAAGCCACCACTTACTTTGTTTTTAGGACTTTCATTCAAGAAAAAAATCATAGTATAGCTTTTCAGATCTGACAGAGACATACATATATCAACACCAACATCACAAATATTTATATAAGGCCTTAGAGTTCGTGATTTTTCCGAGACAAATTGAAATATTGAATTCCAATACTGAAGAAATACTGAATTCCGTATATGTAACAACAAATAACATAGATGCCTATCGCTGTATCTAAATTTGTAAATTTTATGTACACTGTAAAGTTTCATTAGAAATCTCACATTCCACGAAGCATTTATTTGCCAAACCCATAGGTACAGCAGTCAGACTATACGGGTCTGCAAACGGTTTCCCATTGACGTATATTACGATAACATACATTCCTGCCAAATCTGGTACGAAATCCAATAAATATATCCCCTTGTCGCAGTCTTCGGTGAGCACCGATTTCCGCAACTTACCATCTGGACCCTATAATATTCAGAACATCAAATCTTTTTTGTCCATGTGTCTACAGAACCTTATGAAATTCTACATACAAAAGTGGCAATGCGGAGTAGTTTCAATGCATGGGTTGATCTGATTAGAGAAAAAAATAAGAAAAAAGCACGTAGGACTATTGACAGCCTATTTTACAGACCATTCCAACAGGATATCTTAGCAGATAGCATTGCCCTTTTCAAAAGATTCATCCAAAAGACTTATCCAAATACGCAGTTGCATAAAAATATATATTGAGTGATATGGAGCATTGGTTAAACTGTCTTCAATCTTTGAATTCAGTTACGATTCTAACATCAGTAGCAATTAATAGCAATCTCAAAACTAACTAAAAATGCCTCACTTTTATTTTCGCAACCAATTCATCAATTTTCCCAGCTTTCGTAATGTCAATCAGGGCTTCAAACTGAACAGAGGCTTGCACTGTTGATGGCAGGAAACCTCCAGAACGATCTTTCAATATCACATATTTCTCTTCAGGTTTGACGACAAAAATTAGCGGTCTGAAAAAGAATTTGTAGGAAAATTAAACGACAAAAAACTGTAACTTGTAACATGCATAGAAGAAATAGCTTGACCAATATTAAAACCGCCAAAATTTGCGATGAGTACTAAAAACATTTCAAAATAATATAACAAATATAAAAAATTATTACTTTCCAATAAGTTCGCCTCCATACAGAAGTTCCAATGTTATTGTTTCATTTGTTGTAGCGTTTGGGATGAAAGTAACTCGATATACTCGAGGTCTGATTTCTTCAACAATCGGCTGTTCAAAACTAGCAGGAAGACGCGCGCTCACTGGTTCTAATGCAGTGAGTGTAGCATCAACAATAAGAGAATTTGGTACTCCAACTTGGACAATTCCATTATTGCTTTCCGTTATAACAATTTTCGATGGATCACGCTCGTAATCGGCTATCAACATGAATGGAGAACCTTACAAAAAAATTGGTCACCATTCCCATACGTAATTTCCAGTGGAGCGAGAAATATTTTGCAATTTATAAATAATGCAAGGAGAGGTATTACAATGCGAATCAAACAAGGTCAACCTGGGATTTGTTTTTTTCTCTCTCCATAATAAACCATTATTTCGTATAGTCCAGGAGTCTCTGTAATGTACTCTACTATGCATAGACCGTTCTTATTATCCTCCACATTTGTTTTCACTTTTGAAGGTCCTTTGATCGACACTTTCGTTTTGCCCTCCCCACCATCCTTAAAAATTATGGGAAGAGTTTACACTGTTATCACTCTAATAAATAAAAGCATTGGTACAAGTTTTACTGATCACATCATATTCTAGGTTGTTTTCTTTGTGATTGTTTTTGTCATTTGCATTTCAGAGAATCAAGTGTAACTTCATGACTCAAAATTAGAGCTTTCAGATTTTATGAAATGACATATTGCTACTATTATCTAACAAGGACTACGAGTTATTTATTAAAGTTCAAAAAATATATTTTCCTTTTTTTCTATCTTCGTTTTCTCTAAACTTAGGTGACTGTGTTGTCATCTAACTTCAATTTGAGGCTGAAAGCATAAATCTCATTTTTTACTACCTTCACGTCGACTAAAAATTTCGCTGGCATACCAACAACAGCATGTTCAAGTCCTTTGCCAACCGCTCGACATTTAGATGCATCTTCGTTATATCGTACTATAACTAGATATTCGCGAACTAGGTTTCCGTCAAAAAAAACGCATATTTTCCTTTTTCCTAATTTTTCTGCTCTCCAGAAGCCTGAAGAAAATAATATTATTAACAATTTCTTAATATTAGTAACAATTAAGATAAATTGGGCGTAGAAATAAGTCAAAAGATTTTACGCGAAATGTTACCTCTATAAATGTTTGAATTAGGCTTATGTTCAAGAGGTATCAAATATTTTGATCTACCAAATTTTCCAATTTCCTCCACAATAACTTCCACGCCATTTTTCGTAGGTTTCAATTTTCCAATATCAATAACAATATCTTTTCTCTGTCCAACTGTCACGGCTTCTGAGGAATCATAACGCAATTACTTTAGAGATTCTTAAGAAATGATGTAGTTAATTTGGAGTGAGATATATTAGAGTGGAAAAAGTAACTGAAATTACTGAATACCCAATCGCATCCTAGTGACTGCTAACCATTATTAAGACCATCCACCAAAATCGAAGAGGTATCCATTTCTTCAACTGCCATAATTTTGGTTCTTGTCAATTTAGCTGAATCACCAGATGCATTATCACGAACTGTTACCATAATCTACAATAATCAACTTATAGTTTAAGCTCATTTCTATATAAGTTTGAAGGATATTAAAACAATCACCTTGTGTTCGCCGGGAGTTTCTGGTTGATAACTGAATTCATAAACAGTTTCTGAAAGTTGACGTTGGGTATAATGGACTGAAGATTCATCCGGTCCTTTGATGGAGATTTCCGGAACTACCATCGCATCACGAGTTTGAAGTGTAAATCTCGTAGTGATTCCAACTACTGGCGTCAACATAACATCATGAAGTCGACCAAGTGACGGAGTATATTTTGCACCAGGAAACTGTGAAAGATAAGTCATAACACTTTCCTCATCAACAGCCGGACTGATCAGTTCTTCAGGTTCAATAAGCTAAAAAGTAAAAAGCTATACTTCATAAAAAACAGATGCACTAAAAAATTTTTACGAATTACTGCTCTAAAAGAAATAATCGATCTAATTCGGGACATACTGCAGTAACGCCAAGATATTCATTAGCAAGCTGCATCGCAGTATGAGTTGATTGTAAAGCTTCTGATGGTAACCATTTTCGCCAATCAACTTTCAAATCTGGAGCACAAGAGTCGACCTAAAAATCTTCCAATATCAAATCAGAAACAAAACGGGAAAGAGACTGTTTTATTTTAATTCATTGTAACATCATACCAAAGCACCAAGGAGAATTCCATCATTCCAATCGAAGGTGAAATTGGTAACAGAAAGTTCGGCTGGTAACTTTGCCCTTATCCAAGTCAAGAGTTTTTCTTTAGCTGATATTTCATTACTTCCTAATTCACCACTTGAATGGTCCCAAACTTGTTTTGAGATGGAATAATGTAAAATAAGTCTCCATACGAGACCCAAAATTAGCTTCAGATTGTGGTCTGCTATTGCTGAACTATCTAAAAATGAGCAAACAATGAGATGCGCGAGTAGGCTGGGTCGGATTTTTTTACTCACTTTCCGAAATGATTGAGCCTGCCGGTTCATTCGTAAAATATTTTGGTCTAAAATGAGGATAAAGCAGGAACGCACCGATATTAATAAGCTTTATATGTTCTTCATTCTCCAAAAATTGCAATGCAAGCGAAATATTTTCAAGTTTTTGATGACGAAATATAACTTTTTTATTATGTCGACCAAATGATTTTCCGGAGAGTACTTCAATCAAACGGATCAATTTAAGGCCTTCTTCAAAATCGGTTTTCTGAAGAAAACTTTACAGTAAAAACTACAAAATGCATGATCAGAACGTGAAGTTTGTGATGAAATCACAGAACATACCAAATCAGTAAAACATACCAAATCAGACACCGTTACGTTCACCTGTCCTAACTTCTGCTTAACCCAACGAGTGAAAGTATTCAGTTGAATTCTCTTCCACGTTGCGTCATGTTGCTGCTGTTCGACCATAGCTATCTGCAAGGTGCATAGCTTCACGTCTATAATTTTGCGGTTTTATTAATGACTACGAAGAGCCCTTCTCAATCTAAAATTCCTCTAAAAACATAATTCCCGGAACGATTTTGCTTATCTGTATGATTCATCAAATTCGCAAAAATTCTAAAAAAATCACTACTGCAACAATTTGCCAAAGATAAAAAACTCAGTGAGTGTCAGATTTCACCAGTATGCAAAAAAAATTATCTGTACTAATTGTATTGAATAACTATTGATAGACGGATTACTGTTGACATAATTCGATCTATGTATAATATTTGCTTCTAAAGAATTAAATTAATAGAGAATAGTTAATAGAAGAAAAGGATATAGCAGAATAGAATGATAGAGAAGCTTAACTGAACAGAATGGGTGGGATGATAATATCATGTAAATTACTATCAACTTCCATGATGCTATCGTTAATGATTGTACGCTTAGTACATCCCCGCCATCCTGTTAACGCTGTAACAATATTAATAGAGCAAATAATAATATCCTTCAGTATTCCCCAATATCTCAACTAATTAATACGACGAGATCACAGATGAAAATTATATCTGTACATTGGACGTGCAAATGCTCCATAATACGTGCATATCTTCTAAGAGAACTCATGTTGAAGTAAATGAGAATCGGGAATGGATATTCCCCTGCACTGTTGGAATGGAGTTTACAATTCGCACGTGCATCCCATATATTATTATTTGCATAGCTTTTCTTATTTTATTACATATGTAAATGTGCGCAATGAGGGCGGGGAATCATCGATTCAAATTGGAAATGGAATAACAAATTAAATTGGCGGTAGAAACATCCTCATCTCCCGTATTTTCAATTCATATGTTCATTTTTTATCTCATATGATATATATGTACATCTTCTATCAGGTTACTTACATTTCTTCAAGCAGCAATTAAATTTATAATTCGTAATGTCTATGACAGCTTGTATTACATTTTTAAATGGTCCAACTCTCGAGAAACTTTTGATTGGTTTAGATTATTACTTAAAGTTTGAGGACTTATCATTCTACAGATTATTGTATATTTTGTAAATAACAAAATTAATTTTTTTTTTTTGATAAAACTAATATTTACGCAGCATACCAGCTTTCGGCTCATTTCTCAAATATTCTTCTTCCTCTTCCAAAATTCTTTATATATTTATTCAAAATTTTTTATTCCCTTTTATTTCTTTTTAATTTTGTATGTTACAGTAACTTTTACAGATTCTTGAAATTGTGTGACATAATCAATTTTGCTGAAGCAAAGAATCCTTGTTTTTAATCGAGGTTATTCCATGTTACTGTAACTTGTGAAACTTACAGCTTCATTTTCTTCATATTATTTCATTTTTTTTTATTTCAAACATCAATTTTCATTCAATTTAAAGCTGAATTGTTCACGCAATTTATTAAAATGAAACTTGCCCTATTGCATGATTCGAAAATCTGTGGGAGTTTCTTCCTAACAAATATTATCATAAATAACGCAATGCTCCACCAGTGAAAAAGCATTAGAGAAAGAACAAAAGTTTGGAGTTCTTTTTGTATAGTTGCAGTAAACAGAGAGATACTGATTTATGCAGTCAGCTATTGCCCCAAAATGGGAATTTCAGTGTTTCGGTGTTCAGTGTCAAGTATTTTTTACCAGAAAAAGCTGAATATAGAATGTCAATCAACAAATAACGTCATTTGATCATTTGCGCGGCACAAGTTAAAGCGACATAAAGCATTGGAGTTCAAAAAGAATTTATGAAACTTCTTCAATAACGCAGCTACTTTTATTACCAAACTTTTCCGTAATTTTTTTAGAAAGTTTTGGAGCAAATTGACTTTTTTTGAAGTTTCAACTAATTAGTTAATATTTGTAAATTCACGAAGAGTGTTGCTTATGTACTCAACAGCTGAAAATTTGAAAGTAGGAACATTACTCCCATTTGCCTAATAATCACATAATGATGGAATATATTCGTTGAATATTTCGATCTCGTGTCATATTATAAGTCTTAATTAATAGCAGAAATAATCGACTGAGGCAATATTATTCTTTTCTTGTTCGGCGTATTTCTTTTACGCATAATTTTTTTAAATTAATGTTCCAAATGTTAAGAACAGTAATGATAATAAACGAAGCAGAAATCAATAAATTCAGTTTATCTATAACGGCTTTTGTTCATCGGATACTTCGTGAAAAAATTGGATGCGGGGATATTCAGCTTCCAAAATTATCTCTGAAACACAGTGCAAGTGGATAAAGATACAAAACACTGGAGTGTTCAAAGATCATAATAAGGATACTAACTTCTATGATTCCTGAAAATGAATTAGTAATATCCTTCTCGTTTGTTACAAATGGGAGGAAATGTCAAAACAATTCACATTACCTTAATAATTAAACTTAATTTAAAAAGTTCTTTCTCTTAATCACATCTACTGCGTTGTAACTGTAGAGAAAGGTCTCAGAATCAACATTTGTTTATTTTAACGCTTCTCCAATACTGCAGAATCTTCAAACTATGAAAAATCTTATTTTATGAAACCTCCTGCTTTTCAGAATAGTTGGTAAAACTATTGAAACTCAATTGAGAACTGAAAGCTGATCACAAGGAGCTAATTATATTACAAAAGAGTACAAAGCATATAGACAATTTATTTTATTAACAGATAGTCCGTACTAATGTAATTCACGTAAGTAATATAATAAGCACACGAACAATAACGATATGTAGGAAAAATTCCATTGACAGCTCATGCTGTATAACTAATTCTCAAGTATGTTGTTCTGATCTACAATTTACGAAAAACGAAATAATGCTGCTTTTACTGTAATCTTTTCTCATTTTGTAAATTAAGTTTAATTATTAAGATACTATTCAGATATGATTGACAACACTATTGTCATTGTAAGTTTACTTTTTTTTAGAAGGAAAACTAAAAACAAATCTTTGCTAACACATAAATAAGTAGATGAGATACAATGCTGGCTTTTTTTATTTTAAGATAGAAGCTGCCTTAGTAGGCCTGAATCCATATATGTATATTATTTTTTGCCTGTTGCAGGCAATGAAGATACATGAAAAATGATCGATATTGCGAATAAAGCATCTTTAAGAGATCACTTGTAAAAAAATAGCTGCAAGAAATTAACAATGAGTAGCAAATAATATTGAAAACAAGTAAGTGCACTTATAGTATGAAAAGACTTATTAGTATGAAAAGACCTATGGAAACTTATTTATTCCGACATTATTTTTTGACATAAAAAATCAAAATTCCGAACAATAGTGCCGCATTTATCATCGTTTGAACTTCATTTGTCACGCCAGTAAAACCATAAACGACGGAATGCAAAGTAAATGAATAAATATGTAATGAAATTAATGTTAACAATCACTTAAAAATTACTAGCAGGAATTAGAATTTTCTTTTCATCATGAATGCTTAGATTTAAAAATCTAGAATATTATACAGCAAGTATTGCAATATTACATCCTAAATTTTTTAAACACTGATAACAAATGCTGAATAGAAATAAGGTACTAATGCGATTATGGATTTATAAATTAAAAATTTTTAAAATTGATGCCACAGATGAAAAAGTGCGAAACACAAAGATTCAGTCATAACTGTAAATGATTTTGAAATTTTCGAATATTCTCCTCTTTAAATGCACTCAAAGACATAGAATGACAGTTTAATTCTTCAATTTCTTGCTGGAAAAATTCACTCACAATATTCAGGTAATGAAAACCTTATTCCGATAGCATTAATCTTAATCGTCGGTCTGTGGCAACTGTACCCGACTTCTTGCTCCACTTTTGCCAAAACAATAGACTTGCAACATTATTAATAAATCTATTGTAATCTGAAAGTGGTAAAACTGCAGGTGACTTTTGAAATTAGAAATCAAATATTAAAATACGCTGCAATAAAGTCACCTTAAAAATACCGCTTTCTAGATTCCATTCAAAATGGAACATGATGTAATTCTAAGTTCCGTTTCATATTTCCAAATCCTACGGAATCTAAAGTGGTCAATGTGACTCTGAATAAAAAGCACAAATATCAAGCATACTAAATTTACTCCTTATTCGCGAGTTTCGGCAGATGAATTTTTATAATTGAAGTCTTCAAAATAAGCAAAAAGAATTTAAACTAACTTGTATTATTCCACATAACCAAAATTGAGCTGGGCTATTTTCATAGATAAAATAAGCTATTTTACCACAATCTCCAACCATCCACACAAGTACCATGCCAACACTAAATGTCTTGAATAATTAAAGGAATTTCGAAAAAATTATTTCTTCCTCATATTATAATTTGAAATAAAATGTTTTGTCTATTTCTAAACTCATCCCTACTAGATAGATCGTAAATATGGAATTAATTTTTAAATGAACCTCATTCCCGATGTAGAACGTCTTGAGCAATTCTGTTTCAGTTGAGGGAAACCTAGACATGCTTCGGAAAGTAGAGCAAATAGGCCAAGAACTTCCACATATATGATATACTGAAAAAAATGCAGTTTCAAATTTTGATAAGATTGTGCAAATAAAACCGAACAGAACTGCAATCCCTGTTTTTGAAAAACTTTCATATTTTGATTCTTCATTTATTTTTAAGGAGTATAAAGGTACCCCGCTCAATAAGTAAGTAAGTATAGACGAAAATATAATGAAAGCAATTATTAGAACGAAATAACTTGAGAGGTCATCCCACTTCCAAAAATGACTTATCAGTTGACCAGCTGAAAAAAAAATTTATTTTTAAGGTAAAATCTTCTTTAAAAAACTTTAGTAAATTAAAAAAAACGCTATCTAATCTTTAAAAAAAGAAGCATTATGAAAATTATTCAGACAAACAAAACATAATGGTATATAAAATGAAGAGATATATAAAATGAGAAGAAGCATAAAAGAGCTTTAAACTAGGAGTAAAATAATCGAATAAAACTATTACGTATGCTAGTATCGATTAATCAATGATTAGTTGAAGGCTCCAGGTTTCACTTCTCATTTCACTGCATGTGTTTTACAGAACATTAATTTTTTGTACAAAAATTGATTAGTAGGAGACGGTGTTGAAGAGTAATATCAACATTAAATGACAGACCCAATCATGCCGTTAATTCGATAAAATTAAAATAAATTCCAACATATCAATCATTTAAAGAAACATAATTATTTTTCAAATTAATAGAATTTGTAAAAATACTCCAAACAGAGGCACGTTGCGTTTTATATACATATTTTCGATTTGTTCGCACCGATATTTCCAACATCAATATCATTGATATCAACATTACTATGCTTTGAGCAACAAGAGCCAATTCAAATCGCTTACCAAACCTAGGAAAGAATAGATGAAATAGCAAGATAATTTAGCATTCAAATAAAGACAAAAAGATGCCTGCTGCACATCAAATGAAAGTGAATATATCAAAAAATCATCAATCATATCGATTTCAGTTTGTGATTTTCAACTATTTCTTCTTAAAATCGCTGAATGATTATGATGTTCAAAAGAACTAATTGAATAAATGAAAGCATGAGAAATAAAGTGAAAAAGTCCTATTTTTACTAACCAAAACATAATTCGAAGTATATTTGCTATAAGCAATGTCAAGCACACAAATAACGAAAATCCACTAGCATCTTGTCGTTCATAAATTTTTTTGTACTGGAATACGTATGCTAGTGAACCGCCAAATATTATCAAACCTTTTGTGAGAACGGTTAAAGATATGACGAACATATCCTCCAACGGGATAAGATCCATTCCTGACCTGAATAATTTAAACGATTAATGATTTGAATGACATTGCAAGAAAAGCTTAATATCAAAGAATAACGAATCTTTTAAACAAAAAAAATGCGCTCTTGAACAGAGTACCGAAATAGTTGCGAAAAAAAAAGTAAAACAAGTTTTGGAATGTGCATTATATACAAAAAGAACTCAGATCACTTGAATTGGTAAAAGAAGAAATAGGTGAGAAAAAAAGATAATAAATATGCAAATGATACAGATCGGTATTTCAGTCTCATTTATAAAGAAAGAATAGATAAAGCAATAAAAAATCGACCTAGTTTATAGCTCAAACAAGATGGAATAGCTGATAACATTATCTATGAAAAATAATGGAAAAATTACTTTATCCGAATCTATTTGATATTATTTTGATGCTATAGATGATCAACTACGAGATCACCACGAATATTTAGTAAATATTTTTTATTGCTGGTATATAATTTTGCACTGGATGATTCATTTCAGCAGAACAAAATAAATAAAAAAGAAAAAAAAAAACGAAAAAACAAACTTTTCAATGACGAACATTTCCGACTGTTCAGTGAATAAACTATCACAGCTGTAATGATAGTTCACGTTTAACTGCTTTCTATATCGATAATAAAATTACTATTTTCGAGAGTTTCAAAAGTCTTCAGTAAGGACTGACTGATTCACGGCATGGAATTAATAATGAACGGAACAAAATAATTTTGGTACTTGCACCAAAAGTTCCGCAATTTGAAATTTTCATCACTTCTATTCACATTTTATTCCTGAAATTCCTTCTCTTTTCTCGACATCAATAAATAATGGAAAAGTTTTAAAAAAGAACAAATAAAATCATTGAAATACATATAATTGTTGGTACAATAACTTTCATCAATAACAATGATAAATGATCAAAACTGTTATCTTTGATCGATCTCTTCCTTAACTGCATCCTCAAAACAGACCTAAGAACAGGGCATTTCAACTTTATTCTCATTATTATTTTCCTTCTTTTTCTCCCGTGTTACAGTTTAGTTTTAATGTATTTTCAAGTGCTATAAAATATTGTAGTAATGGTTGTATTTGTTTGTATGAAACAAATAAGAATATCCTGTCGATCAAATTTTAAATAAAATTAATTGGAAAAAAGGATACTTGAGATGAGTGAAGAAGTTAAGAAATATTTTAAAGCATTAAAAACAGTCAACATTCAGAGGTGACTGATAATTTTCACTGATGTTTACGCTTCTCTTTTATAACTGTATCAATATTTTCTAATACATCAATCATAAAAACCAAAAAGTCAAATAGTCATTTTTTGATTGACTGGCTATAAAAGAATATTGTCCAAAAAAAGATATCCCTCAGTATGACATTTACGCATTTGTTTTTGATGATGCAATAGAAGCTAATGATGTTTCGAATTTTCGGACAGTATATAGCTTTCAAAAACGATGAAACTATTCTACACGATCAGATAAGGATTCAGAAATAAAATCCTATTTGTATAAATTGCAAAAAAAAAGAAATAATATAAAGGTGTGTTGTTTTAAATAAAATTGAAAAAACCATCCTTTCTTTTTGAGAATTAACTGTGAATAGGAAATGCACAAATAGTTCCTATCAGTTCTGTCATCTGTATAACCGAGACATCATTAATTAAGGCTTTTCCAGCAAATCTATCGAATAAAGCATTAATTAACTATATTAAGGATATTAATTTATTCGTTAAATAGCCTTTTTTACATTGGCTATAACTGTATTACTTTCTTTTTCAAATCCTGTCCACTCCTCAAATAGCTATTTTTCAAAATAATGTAACTTCTAAGCAATAACATCAGTGAAGACAACAAGGATTCGAGGCTGTAAAAGATTTCGAGTAAATAAAAATATATGCCGGAAAGTTTAGTTAAAGGTAGGTCTAACGCTAAGCATTATGCCTTGATCAATAAGGAAAGCATTGAATTCAGCACAAAAATTTCACTCCCATTATCGATCTAGCTTTTGAAAGCTTTGCAAGCAATAAGAATATAATTTTTATAATATTTTTCCTTAGCCTCTTCACTCAAACAGCTTGATATCCAATTACTTTCCATTATGATGCATATTTTTAAATTATTATTATCTGCTTAGTAGAATAAAGAACAAACATTAAATTTCTGTGAAGTAAAATAAGGTGATAACTAAGCTGACGTTTACAGACTAAGAAAAATCATATAAAATTCTCCATATATAATATTCGCATTGTTTATATTAACTTCTAATCGCTGGAGAGTTAGTACTTTGGAAGAAATAATCGTATGATATCAAAACTCACAGTTATTTCTTATCAGATGGTTAAAATCCACCAAAAACCTACCAGCAGATTTATGTTAGTAAAAATAGCTCCACAATTATTACACCAATTAAGTACAACATTTAGATTAAATGTTATATTCAAAAAATTATTCAGTGTTAGGTACTTATTACTTCGTCTACCAGTAATTATTCAAAATGCAGAGATCTTCCAGAAAAGTATATATCATGCTACTGACGAATTATACTTCTTGTTACAATAATGTTTATGTTGTCCCTAATTAACAAACACTTCAAGATCAACAGAACATCTAATCGCGTAGCACAATTCATCTTTTAATGATGATGTGAATTTATGCGTAGACGTAAAATAGTTAATCAGAAAGTTAAAGAGAACATTAATATCGCCTGAGAAATGGAAACTGAAGACACATCATTGATAAGAAAACACGAAGCGAAAAATTATCAAGCAAATGGAAGCACAATAATCTCGCTTAGAAATTCAGCACTTAATTTCGCACTATCCATCAAATACCCTATTTTTTTACAATTTCAATGTTACCAATCTTCTTTGGGAGTGCTTTTTGAATTTTGAGCGCTAAATTCACACAACAAATTAAAAGCCTATACTTAAAAAATTCCACTACTCTTGTTTCTTCCTCACTATCAGAAATCTGCTAGATCATCAGATAACTTAAGTCTATAATGATTTGATTGTATACCAAAATGTGCATCATACGAAAAATGAATGCATATATAATTCTTACTTGGAGAGAAAAGAAAAACTTAAATAAGCAAGGAAAACTTCGAAAAAGCTAAAAAATGTTGGTCAAAACTCGTAGCATAGAAAAAACTTTGAAATGTCCAAAAAGAGAAGCCAATAAATTATGCAATTGAGGAAACAAAATGCATCGAGAAATGCACTTTTGGCTAACGACATTATGATGAGATAATACTTTATTTCACTTCTTTTGAGACACAAAAGCACATTCACATCTTGTGGATGGACAAGAAGCTGTACTAGTGCAGATAAGAACGAATCACTTTCAAAAAATACATATAAAAATAATGTGTGCCACAAAGAAATACAGTTTTTGAGTTGACATTTAATGTTTCGGGCAATCAAGAATATATGAACTTCCTTATCGGATTTTGTTTAATCTTTTATCACATAAAAAAGAAACTTTTATGTAAATAGCAAAAAAAAACTTATGTCGTCCTTTATCGATTAAAGCTAAATATAAATTTAAAGCAAATAAATATAAAGAAAACAGGTATAAATTTATGAAACTGTGGGAATGAAAGCAATCTTGATTCACTCTGCAACTGATCTCAGAAAGTCGCTGGAATTTCACTCCCTATTAAAACAGTGCTATGGATATCAGCAACTAAAAAATGATGTCAAAATAAAAATGGGAAATTTACATGAGACAAAAATAAAAAGACCATTATCAACGGAATAGGAAGATTTTTTGGAGGATTTCTGATCGAAATCCTTCAAAAAATCTGAATTCTGGAATGACCTAAATCAGAAACAAAATGAAAATACAAAAAAAACAGAACAAATGCCAGCTTTAAAACTGCGTAACAAAGAGGAAATGTTATATTCGCCTGAACTCTAAGGCAATAAATAATAGACCCATGACGCCAAATCTCATTCTTTAATTCAAAAAATTTAACAGTCAAACTGCTTGCCAAAAAAACAAGAGTAAAGAGTAACAATAAACTGAGACAAAACCTTAAAATTCATAATTTTAAATCAGTGAAATATATGCAATCATGGCGACACATGCACTCGATGTGGTGGCCTCACAATCAATTTTCCACTCTGAAAGAACTAGTTTCCATAAATTTTTAAAAGACTGAAATTAGTAAATTCATACAAATAAAGATAACAACGAAGAAGCTGCTATGCAAAAATATTTTTTATATTTTACAAAAAAGGATATTTTCTACTTCAAACCAACCACATCATTAATACTATAAAAGACTTTAGCAATATCAAGAAGTCGGAATTATAATTTGCTTAAAATAAAATATCCGTCGAAATAAGATTTATACTTCTCCGTTCCAACATTAAAAAAACCGGGAACTCCATACGAAATAGCCTCTATCAAAAAAAGAAAAAAGCATATTATTTAGATATCGTGAAGTTCAACAAGGAAAAATTAAATGCGTTTAAGCAAAAACATACGTCATCACAGCTAAGGCTGAAGTCTGCCAGTACCGAGCGACACCGTGAAGCAATTCTGAAATATAGCAATAATAAATATGCAAAGATAAAACTGATAAATATGAGTGCTAACAATAAACGCATGATTGTGATCAAAATCCAGCCAACAATCCGATATAACTTATAATTACAGTTCATACAGTCATTCTTAATATAGAATGAATTTTTACAAAATTTGATGTATTGTTCGAAATGGATTAAAAAGTTCTTAAAATGAGAGATCAAATATGCATAAGTACATTTCAAGGAAATAAAATATATGGTCTAAAAAACATCAGAATGTAAATGTACTGAAATAATGTGTTAGGTTAGTTGAATAAAAACCACAGGCAGAAATCAAACGCAAGAAAACAGTAACTGCAACCCGTCCCGTGCATTACCGAATTCTTCTCTTCCTCTTCGTTCAATAGCTTTTTATTCCACTTCATCCTTTTGTCACAAAACAGATTAAATTACTGTTTAGTTGAAAATACAAAAAACTCTTATACAAAGGAACTGAAGTATAGTTAGCCTCATACTGAACAAAATTTACATGTTCATTTTAATTTTATCTATTTGTATGTTTCGCTCTTACTTCACTCTTTTCTGTACATTTTTGCATTTACAATTTTTTAAAAACAAAGGCATTTGATAACTGATATTAAAACCATTATAGATGTACAGAAGCAAGAAAAATAAAAGCAAATATATAACTGAAATATAGTTAACGTTCTATTGAACAAGCGAATCTTGCAGAATAACATATAAAACCGTTTTGTTAGAACAAAGTTAAAATCCCAAAACTAAGAATTTGAAAAAATTTACAAAACTGGAAAAATCTATTAAAAAATGAAATGTTAAAGAACAAAGTGCAATGATGCAGACAGAGAATCAACATGATTCAACCATACCTATGCACTCAGAACAGAACATTTCATGATCAAAAAATAATATGGGATGAATAATTACAATAAATTAAATAGTTACACGTTATCTGAACGTGATTCACACAACCTGTACCACATGATTGTCCCATTACTCTAGTTTGATTCCAACATGATCCATGCTGCGCGCGGCAGTCTACAACAATGAGAACATCTCTTCTAGTATCCATAGGATATATATAAACAAAGTAGGTCACGTAAGTATGCAAAATACAGACTGTTTAGATACCAAACAATTTACACATTGTACGAAATCAAAAAAAAATCAACTTACATGCTTGGCGCAACAGCACGGTTATGTATTCCGATAAAACCAAACAAAAATAACAGTGAAGGCACACAAGCCGAAAAGACAAGATGATTTTGTAGTGACTCTACCAAAGTAACCTAGAAAATTCTCGAATTTACAAATCAAATACCCACTAAATCAAACACCCACTAAAAATAAATGCACAAGTTGAAATTGAAAATTACATGGAATTAAAAAGATAGAAGTAACACGCACAGTACGTATGGAGGGATCCTTCAGCCAGAAGTAGGCACTCCACAATGTACATCCAAATGCGACTAGTAACACTACTGAAATGAACATAATTAATCAAAAAAAACTCTAAATATAATGATTTATGGGTAATTTTTACAGTCCATCGAATATTTAGGTAAAATTTTGGAAATTTGTTTGAATCCTTAACAACTCTTAAAAATGACGTATTATTTGATCAAAGAGGAAAAGGAATTTAAGAAAAAAACTAAGGTAATGGAGACAAGCGACAAAAGAAAAACATTTTTATTAATATTTTTTGTCTGCCACAATCTAGAACCTGGGTTCTCACAATATGAATCCTAAACATAGGTTAAGATTAAGAGTTAGCAAAGTATTCAATTTTTCAGCACAAGGATTCAAGAATGTATCTTTGAGCCTGTGTTTGAAAATGTATTTTCAAGTTAAATTCAACTATTGTTTTCGTGAAACCCGCCCGTGATAACAGTTGCACAATTTGCTAACACGTGGAAATATTCAGAAAACTTGAAGCACATTGACAGTCCAAAAACCAGCAGTCCGATTAATAGTTCAAATGGAATAATCTGATATCCCTCCTAATAAGTCTATGAATAGCAGCATATCCAGTCACTAATAGACAGAATACAGTCTATTCTGCATTGGATCTTTTGACTGTACTATCGTAAGGAAGTAAAAAATGTAAAGCAAATGAAAAAGTGTCCTAGGATCATTTAATTTAATGATAATACATAAAACAACTTACACCGCCACCTCGTTGCAGCTGGTTGCATACTTTGAATTACTTCCGTTAGACGTCTTTCAAAGTAACGCAAATCTGGAGAACACTTTGCATATAAAAAGAATTAAATTTTAGTATTTCACAAACAAATATAGATGGGTAAAATATCTGATAGACAGCAAATTGCTTGCTGCCATTTTCTGTCCCTCAAGACAAATCTCGAACCCTTCCATTTGATCAAATCTCACGGTCTGTACTGGTTTGGAGCAAATAAAAAGCAAGATACCTTCACAGGCTGCAGAAGTCTCATCCATGACCTAGCCAACGTACTCCTTGTTTCCGCATTAGTTTGATTTCTGTTATAATATAAGCTGAAAAATGACAACTTACATATCAAATACACCAAATTCAAAGCACGAGACTGCAATTCTCACGACTGATAAGATTAATCCCTGTAGCTGACGTTACAAAGCACAACAAACAATTCATAGACAATATATCCCACACTTACGCCACGTTATTATGAGGAACGAATTCCATAGAGTATCCACATATTCACGATGATCTAAAATGATCAAAAATTCAACAAATCAATAACCATATACCGTACCCTTCACCATATTCACAGCACGATGTCTCGAGAGTGAGTAATTCTGGAAGGTAAATCACGAGGAAACACGGCTGAATGAACGGAATCGGCAATTTCGGTACTGGTTGGAAGTTTAAAGGACGACCCGTAGCGATGATAGCAATGATAATTGCCCTAATTGCTATCATCGCTGTTACGGGTCGTCCTTTAAACTTTGGAATTATCATTTGAAATTATGATTTGAAATTAATGACAATTTAGGAGATGTCAAGTGGAGTGAAGTGGAGAAAGAGCGAAAGATTACTGTGGTATTTTCTACCTCGAGAGATGTGTAACGGGAAATTCTTAGTCTTTCTGGTAGCTTTTATCTTCCGTAGCAGCGATCACTGATGAGACATTTGAGCCGCCTTGTTCAATTTTTATTGACTGACAACGCTTCTTTCAGTCATCATTATTTCAGTTGAATTGATTATAACTGATGAATTGTTTGTTTGTTAGTTAAATTTGCCACTAGATAATTAATAAGGATAGTTTCACGTATATTGGTTAGGAAGTAAGTACTTCACCTTTCTAGTGATTATCTTTTCTTGAGACGAATCGTTCTTCATTTTTTGGAATCATTGTCCAATTCTTATGTTTTAACCGATAGGAATTCTCTTAATCTTTCAAAAACGATGACGTTCTGGAATGTCGTCATTATTACATCAAGAAGAGTTTGTCTACAGATTTCTTTTGCACCCATTTCTGCTTTATCAAATTCAGTACTCTCAACTGGATTCATTTCACTAGTCGATCTGCTTTTTTTATTTATATAATTCACCGTCATTTAAACTTCTGATTCTCTTTCTCTCGACTGGAAATCACAAATTACTGAAGTGCACTGGACATCACTTTGGTTTTTGGCTGCTTTATAAATTTCCAATACTTAACAGCTTTTTACAGGCAGTTTCTGGGAATGGACTCGTCGTGTCAAAAACGTTTGACGAAAGAATACCAACAGCTCACACTCGAACCACCAGCTGGTGTCCATGTAAAGGATGAATCAACACATGATTTGCGGCTTTGGACTGTTCATGTTGATGGTGCTCCAAACACACTTTACGCTGGTGAAAAGTTCACACTAAGAGTAATTTTTCTTTTCTTAAGTTAGCCGTTAATTCATGAATATTTGTCCCTTAACAGATATATCAACATCGTCCGGTTTTTTCTTTCTGTGCTAGTAAATAACCTCTGCTCGTCATTCTTTTGACAATGTTGCACTGTTCGTTCTTTAAAAAAGTTGTTGAATTTTCCTTCCGAAAAACATTCTTTCTTTTCAGAAGGAAAAAAAGAAAGAATGATTGCATAAAAAATTTAGAAAATTTTTGGTAACAATATAAGAAGTCACGCTATTTAAGTGTAGTCGAATACAAGTATTCCAGTAGTCATAATATTAACTTTTTATCGCTAACTTTTTTCCATTAACTTTTAAAAATCTGTTATCGATTTATGCAACACTTCTGGGTCATATGTTAATGGTTTCTAGTAATTCCTTAGAGATGTACAAGTGTTTAGTTTTTTATAGTGATAATTTCGAGATACTGGGAGTTCCATTATCTTTAATCAGGTTCCGCTTTTGGCACAAAAAATCTAGTCCGAAAGATTTGTAGGAGATTTTATTTACCATTCAATGGTGAAGAATAAAGTTTGAGATGTAAATTGTTGTTTAGTATTCTGCAATGCTGAAATCAATTACAAATGAAGAGTTAGAGTAATGACAGTATTTGTAAATGAATTGTTGTAGAAATTTCAATTCTATCTTATTTTCAGCGACACTTTTCGGTTTTTTCTTTTCAGTTTCGTTTCCCGGATGAGTATCCTTTTTCTTCACCCGAAGTTATTTTCATTGGCGATAATATCCCTATTCATCCGCATGTATATTCCAATGGTCACATTTGTTTGTCGATCCTTAGTGACGACTGGACCCCTGCACTTTCTGTGCAGGCTATATGTCTCTCTGTGCTATCCATGCTTTCTTCATGCAAAGAGAAAAAACGACCACCAGACAATGCTGTCTATGTGCGTACCTGTAGTAAAAGTCCAAATAATACACGATGGTGGTTTCACGGTAAATTTTTTTATTATTTCATCAATAAAAACTTCCTTTCTTACATTTTTTTATTTTAATGATTTTTTGTTATGGGAAAATTTTATTTTTTTAGATTAAAATACTGTATAGTTAAAAGCGGCGATTGTTGTAATCAAGTTCTCTACATAGTAGATAACAAAAATTCGAAATGCTTTGTAGCGGCCTTTTAAAAAATTTAATTTTGTTGTATTCAGTGGTTACTTTGAGGTAGTGATCATCGATATCTATGCATTCGATACCGATGATCATCATCATATATAGATGTAGGTAATTTACATAACATTTTCTTATTTATTTAAAACTTCTGAAAATGAGTCCTATTCTGCATTATGCTACTCAAGTAATAAAATATTATAAGATTTTTTAAAATGAAATTTTACAAGATTTTTTTTAATTAATTAATTCTTTTTACACTTCAGATGATACAGTGTAACAAGCATTTGTCAAACTCCGGAAATACAGAGCTGATTTCATTCTAATCATTTCCATGGGATACAACAATTTTTTTCTTGTTTTCAATACTTTCGAGTACGTTTTTGTTAAGCTTTAGAACACTGAATGTTTTTGCAGTATGCATTTTTCAAAAATCGGTTCTAATGTTCCATCAAAAGAGCTGTTCATCATAAGCAGTCTCGTATATCCTAGAAATTTTAATATTATAAAGCTTCAAATTGAAAGAATTGTGATTTGTATATAAAGGATTAATCACGCATATATGGTGGTTTTAAAGAGTTATAGAATAGTTGTGGAACATTTCTAATTTGGATTGATTTTTTATGGTGATTTTAAGTTTTTTAAAAAAATTGTTGAAAAAAATGTAGCGGTATATATGAAACTCATGTTTCTTATTTTCGAATATCAGAATATAAACATGCTTTGATAAATTTTTTCTGTAAAATTTCTTATGAAAGCATAACTTAGAGTCGATTGCAATGGATGAAAAGTTACGAGCATTCATAACATTAAAGTAGTGAAAACGGTATACTTAGAAAACAAATTTTCCAAAATCTTTATTAGCTTTCAGAGTTTTGTGTGGATTTTAGAAGATAAGCTGTGCGTTTTAGATCTTCAATCTTAGTGCTTCTTGTAAAGCTTCAGAAAAAGCTTTTTGTAAAACCTTTCTTATAATTTTTTTTGTTTTATTGGCAGATTTTTTTTTTGTTATCAAAAAGTCTCATCTTAATAAATTCGAAAAGTAGTACTGTTTGTATACGAATGTACATATCTTTCTTATGTTTTTCATTTTTAAGAAGCGGTAAATGTTACAATCATTGTTTATATACTAATGACAAAAATGCAGACATGCTTTATAAAAACTTTTAAAAGAACTTCTTTTTGTTATTTTCGGTAATTACTTTGGGATAATGGTCTTGGGTTGCGATCGTACTTTAGTACATTAGAAACACCTAATTAGAGACTAAAAGTTCGATCGATTTCGTCAGACAAAGCAGACTTGGTTTGGAGGTAGTGTTATTAAGTGCTAGTTAAGGTTTAAATTCAAAATTATGATAGCGTTTGCTTCAGAAATATTTCAAAGGAGACATGCATATTGCGACATTAATTATCACGTACTGTATATGCATGTTCAATTTATGTCGATTTATTATCATTTTTGAGATGTCTTATGTATTTTGTCCATTATCATTTACTTAGAATCAGAAAGTTCTTTCTCGCGTCACGTGGAGGATTTATTCCGGTGATGATAACGCTTTCTGAAATATGTCCAGGCGATTTAATTACAACATTGTATTTGAGATTTGTATGATAGAACTTGGATTAGCTTGTCCAAAATATAACTTGGTTTTTAATAGTGTTAACTGTATTTGATCATTTTTTCCATCCGGTTTTGTTGCTATCTTATTCTACTCAGTATTGAGCTATCTTGTGTTGTAGAAATTTTATTAAATAAAATTTTCGATAATCATTTTTCTTTTTCGGTTTTTTAGCAATAGCTCATTAATAATTTCATAGAATTGTAATGTTCCTGCAGCTGTCATTAAATAGAATGGGAAATCTAAGAATCCTTGAATTTTCTACTATTAAATTCTATGTTTTGTCTTGTTACTGATCAACGTCCGAATAAGCATGGAAGAACAGAGGAATTCAAATAAAGGTACTTTTAAGAACTGTTTGGTGGAGACAAACAAGCTGCTAAGTTACCATTTTTGTTGGAAAAAGAAGAGTTTCATTCTAGCATTTGTTTCACTAGCCAGTGAATTTGATTACAGTATCTGGATATATTAGCAGACTAATTGTTGTAAACAGTTTCAAAAATCATCCACACTTTAATAGTGATAACGATACTGATACCCTGCAAGAGATTTCCTGGATCTCAGCAATATTTTAATTTCAGAATTATCCTATGAATACTAAGCCTAATGGCTCTCATTTTTCAATTTGTCATTCAAACTGTACGCTATGAATTTCTTTATTTTTCTTTTGAATTAAATTCTTGAAATACTAATGAAATATGCGATGAAAATGATTACATCAGTGTGATCAAGCGCATCATATTCTTATAGTACATGGTTTTAGATTTGTTTCAGAATCGCAAGATTTTTTAGGCTTCGGATTCTTCATGCTTTTAATTGCATTACCAAGTTTTGTTACGTTGAGATCAGTGCTGTAGAAGTAATTCAAAATCTTGTCGTCATATTGATCTTACGTTTTCAATGTTCGATTTTTATTTACCCTTTCCGGATAAAGTAGAAATTGATCAGCAGTAGCACAGTATATGTAAGAATCTTTTTTTGTATTAATAGCAATCATTGAAATAAATTTAAACATTTTTACGTTTTTTTTAATAAACAGGAAATGGACAAGTAATTGTAATTTTTGTGCTTCCATGTCTTTTAAACATGCTAGCTATCGCGAGATGAATTCTAATTCCATTCCAATCCGCCAAACTTTAATAATAGCCTCAATACTACAGTTAAAGTCAAATTAAAATTATTGTGGATGATCTTAATTTCTCTAACAAGCATGCATTTTATTTTACATTTATAAAGTTCAATTTGCATGGTGTCTGATATAGTTAATGAAAATGGCTTGTAAAATGTT